CCGCCATCATCTTTTGCGGCCCCGACCCACGCGGCAAACCACCGGGGCCGCCGTCCAAGGGGTCCATCGGGTGGCCCATGCTGTCAGGGCCACCCGATGGATATGGATTGTCAGGGGGCTTGGTCAGCGCTGGGCGCTTTAACAGCGGGACCAGGACCCCTGTGATGACATCACAAGCTGGGAGAAAGTCACTCCTCCCAGCATACAGAAAGCCTGCGCAGGAGGAAGGAGAGGGAGTCATAGTGGGCACTCTGACTCCCATCCACCTGAGCCACTACTGGACACCAGGGAAAGTCACCCTCCTGCACCTAAAAGGTAGGAAACAGGAAGGTGACTTAAAAATTTAGTGTGTGTGTGTGTGTTTGTATGTATGTGTCTGTCTGTGTGCCTGTCTATCTGTCTGTATGTGTGTGTCTGCCTGTATGTCTGTGTGTGTGTGTGTCTGTCTGTATGTATGTGTCTGTATGTGTGCCTGTCTGTCTGTATGTATGCCTGTCTGTGTGTCTGTCTGCCTGTGAGTCTGTCTGTCTGTGTGTGCCTGTCTGTTTGTATGTGTGTATGTGTCTTTGTATGTATGTGTGTCGTGTTTGTGTTTGTCTGTCTGTATGTGTCTGTGTGTGTGTCTGTCTGTATGTATGTCTGCCTGTATGTGTGTGTGTGTCTGTGTGTGTGCCTGTCTGTGTGTGTGTCGTCTGTATGTATGTGTCTGTGTGTGTCTGTATGTATATATGTGTGCCTGTCTGTTTGTATGTGTGTGTGTCTGTGTGTATGTGTCTTTATGTATCTGTCTGTATGTGTCTATGTGTGTGTGTGTGTCTCTATGTATGTATGTGTGTGTGTGTGTGTCTATCGGGGGGCCAAGGGGGGAATAGGGAGGGGAGGGGCCCACGGATCCGTTTCGCACCAGGGCCCCATGGATTGTGTGTACGCCACTGGGAAGAGTATATTTGCAGTAGCAAATTTCCTAATTCCACAAGCAGTTATCAAAAAAGCCAAGTAAGAACACAGTCCTCATCTTTTAGATAGAAATAGTGAGAGAATTTCTCACATTTAACTCGTTAGGCAAAACTGTGCCAACTGTGAAAATCCAGAAAGTCTCTCTCTGAAGCAAATCAATCTCTTTACTTCCTCTACGTCTCAATTTGGGAATGTGATCTATATCCGCATACATAAGGCTATTAAACTGGTGCACAGCTTCCAAGAAATGTCTAAGTATTGGAGGGGAATTGGTTGGGTCTTTGGCTTCATGATAGATGATCTGATAGACGATCATCGGTGGTTGCGCAAACGTTCACTCAAATTATTTTTAGGCTTAGCCATGTAAGAAAGTCAACGTAGGCACACAATTTTGTTAACCACAAAATCTACAGTACAAACAATGCAGTGGCAGGTCTTATATTCTTTGCCTGTGTGGGGGTAGTGGAACAGGTAAGTACACTGTAAGCCAGTGGTGTATCCTGGTTTTGTGCTGCCCTAGGCAGGACAAAACTCAGACACCCCCTGCCCCTGCGCCACCCCCACCCAAACCTTCCCCCCCGCCCCACCTTCTAAATACACACACACACACACAAACAGTCAGACACAAACACACACACACACACACAGTCAGACACACAGTCAGACACACACACACACACACAGTCAGACACAAACACACACATTAACACTTTTTTTTTCTTAATTTAACCCCCTCCCCCCCCAGCCTCCTTACCTTTGGGGTGTTCTCTTTCTCCCTGGGGGTCCAGTGGCTGCCGGTCGGGCTGATGGGCTGGCTACTGGGCGCTGGGTGGGCGGCTGGTGAGGGAGCACTTCCTCTGAGCGGTCTGCTCAGCTCCCTCGCGCGCCGCAGAGTGAGGCTGGGAGCTGGAATATGATGTCATACTCCGGCTCCCAGCCTCACTCTGCGGCGTGTGAGGGAGCTGAGCAGACCGCTCAGAGGAAGAGCTCCCTTGCCAGCCATCCGCCCTACCATCAGCCAGCGCCGCCGCCAGCCCAGCATGTCAGTTAGCTGTAAGGCTAACTAGGCATTTGCCCTGGGCATTTTGCCGCCCCCTGAAAAATGCCGCCCAAGGCAAATGCTTTGTTTGCCTCGCGGCTAATACGTCCCCGCTGTAAGCATCTATACCAGCCCACAATGCTATTACTGCTAAGAGTAGGACATAGGTAGAATATATATAGATATATATGTGGTTTAACCCCTTAAGGACACGACATGTGTGACATGTCATGATTCCCTTTTATTCCAGAAGTTTGGTCCTTAAGGGGTTAAAGAGAGAACAACACAACAAAACAGAAAAATTGATCCATCTTCCCAGGGAGCGCTCCGCGCAGAATAAGCTTCAAGGGGGGAAATGCCATTTAAAGGCTTCCCAGTGTTTGAAAGTCAACCAATCAGAACACTCTGTCAGGCGTGCCTTACCTTTCTCCAAACTTTCTGGGAATAGTACCTAAAATTATTGTTCCCTTGCAAAAAGCAAGTGAATGATAATTAGCATTTGAGCTTATTGGTTTATCTCTTATTAAGTGTTCTTGCATAGCAAGACCACTTAATGTTATCTCACATATATTTTATTATTCTTATTATAGCCAAATTTACCACCCTAACTCCTCCCACAGTTCTTACACTACATTACAGTAATATACCGAAACGTGCGGTTGTTCCCGATCGGGTTGCTATTACTTTGTGGAATGTTTTGCCGAATGGTTCACGGAATATCGTTGTTCTTGTGTCGAAATTGGTCCCATAGGAATGGATGGCAAAATGTTCAAAACTAAAGTGAGAGCTGGCAAAAGTTGAAAAATCAGGACATGATTTCTAAACTGCCACCACTCCCTCATTTGCAAGCCCACCTACACAAATCTTATATCAAAACATTCAGCTATCCATGCTGCTACTAAAAATGTCCACGGCTAAGCCATAGTCCTGATAGTTTTCACAATATGACCATTTGTTTGCAACTCACGACGTCCATTGACATTCATTGAAACTCCACTCTAGCCAGCTCAAATTTGAAGGGCAATGTCTAAACTGCGACTGTGCCTTTATTGTTAATATTTCAGAGACATACTATGTATCAAAATGTAGGTCTGGGTCCTGTGATTCTCACAATATAAAGCTCTTCGCTGTAGGATTTATAGTTTTTAAAATACGACCGTTTGAAAATGGCAACCGCCAAAATACTCTGACCTGTGCCAGGCTGGAGCAGCAAGTGATGTCATAGACAGGGCCTTTTGTACACCTGCTAATGTTTTTATAAATGTATGTTTTAATGTAACTGTGAAGCACTTTGGGCAACAACGTTGCAATTAAATGTGCTATATAAATAAATAAAAGTTGAAATGCATTTCTCACTCTATCAAGCTTGCCATGTGCACTTTTTAAATTTGATCAATCAATTGGTTAGTGTAATGTTTACTATTTTTACTCACTCCAAACACTCCACACAGTTACTCTAGCTACTCCAACCACACAACAGTTACTCAAGCGACTCCACCCAGTTACTCCACCCACTTCAGTTGTAGACTACCGGTGGAGGCAAGAACACTTCACACAATTTCCCCAGAAATTGTAGCTTTTCTAGTTACAGATTATAGCTCCTGGTGAGCTAATAGTCATCACATTGAGGTCTGCCTCCCCGTCTTTGCTCTTGGTTAGTGATAATGACTGAGAATCAGCCCTTTCAGATTGAATCATGCTGTCCCTTTAACGGCCCAAAGGGGCTGTACTAGGTGGGAGGAAAGATAGATGGTAGGGGCTGCACTGGGTGGGAGGAGGGATGGAGGGCAATTCGTGCACTGGTTAGGAGGAGTAAATGGGCTGTACTGGAGGGAAGGAGAGGTAGTACTAGGTAGAGTAGGTTAGGAGGATTAGCACTGGAGGGAAGGAGAGGTAGCACTGGGTAGAAGAGGAAAAGAGTCGTAGCACTGGAAGGAAGGAATGATAGCACTGGGTAGAGGATGGAAGGAGGGAGTAGCACTGGAGGGAAGGAGAGTTAGCACTGGGAAGAAGAGGGGAGGAAGGAGTTGCACCAGGTGGAGGAGGGATAGCACTGGAGGGAAGGAGGGGTAGCACTGGCTGTGTGGAGGGATGGGCTGCACTAGGTTGGAGGAGGGAAGGAGGGCAGGGGGTGCACTGAGTAGGAGGAGTGAATGGGCTGCGCTGATTGGAAGGAGGGGTAGCACTAGATGAAGGAGGGGTAGCACTATATGAAGGACAGAGTAACACTGGCTGGGTGGAGGGATGGCGGGCAAGGGCTGCACTAGGTTGAAGGAGTGAATGGACTGCACTGGAGGGAAGGAGAGGTAGCACTGGGTGGAGGAGGGAAGGAGGGATAGCCCTGGATAAAGGAGGGAAGGAGGGATAGCCCTGGATAAAGGAGGGAAGGAGTGGGTAGCACTAGATAGAGGATGGATAGCACTGGATAAAGGAGGGAAGCACTGGATAGCAGGAGATGGAGTGGGTAGCACTAGATAGAGGAGGGATAGCACTGGATAGAGGAGGGATGGAGTGGGTAGCACTAGATAGAGGAGGGATAGCACTGGATAAAGGAGGGATAGCACTGGATAGAGGAGGGATGGAGTGGGTAGCACTAGATAGAGGAGGGATAGCACTGGATAGAGGAGGGATGGAGTGGGTAGCACTAGATAGAGGAGGGATAGCACTGGATAAAGGAGGGATAGCACTGGATAGAGGAGGGATGGAGTGGGTAGCACTGTAGGGAAGGAGTGGGTAGCAAGGGCTGCACTAGATGTGAGGAGAGATTGGTAGGCAGGGGGTGCACTGGGTAGGAGGAGTGAATGGGCCGCACTGGAGGGAAGGAGGGATAGCACTAGATGGGAGGAGAGATTGAGGGCAGGGGGTCCCCTGGGTGGGAGGAGGATAGTACTGGGTGGGAGGGGAGATTGAGGGCAGGGGCTGCACTGGAGGGGAGGAGGAGGAGGAGGAGGGAAGGAGGGCTAGCACTGGAAAGGAGGAGCTATTGAGGGCAGGGGCTGCGCTTGGTGGGAGGAGGGAAGGAGGGGCCGCTGCTGTCTGGCTTGTTTGCAGACGGATCTGCTGTATCCTGGGCATTCTATCACAGTCCTGAATATCTCCCTGTATGTTTTCCTCTCAGATCCCATTTACCGAACTGGAGACCCCGCAGAGCATGTAACCATTTCCTGTCTACAGAGCCATGGACCGGGCCAGCCTGGCCGGAGGGAATAGGGGGGACCCTGGGCAACTCATCGTCCGGTCCCTGGACTTCAAGAGCCAGGGGTCGCAGTGCTACAAGGACAAGAAGTACCGGGAGGCCATCGGCAAGTACCATCGGGCACTACTGGAACTGAAAGGGTTACCAGGGGACAGGGACTGCCCTGGGGGCACCCAGACACCGGCCCCCTTACCCGGACAGGGGCACCTAACGGAGGAGCAGCGCAGGGCAGTGGAGAGCATCGAGGTGGATTGCTACAACAGCCTGGCAGGTGGGTGATGATGGGCACAGTGCCACCAGCTTGGGGTTCACCCTCTGCCTGGCACCTCCTGAGGCAGGGATGCCCATAGCTTTAGGAATCAGGGCTGGGTACCATCAGCACTGTATGATGCTCTCTGTGTGAGATGCCTATCAGCCTGGGCTTCAGGGGTTGATGCCCACTGTGCCACAGCAGCTGGTGTCTGATGGCAATGGGGAGCTTGTCATTATTCCTGGTATTGGACACAAAGTGGCGTGATTTCCCACAGTAAAAGATCACCCCCACCGCCTCCCCTCTGCCATCATCATCATTAACCCCAGGAGTTCCAGGGAGATGGAGATTAAATCCCTTAATCGATACTTTGTGTATGTTGTGCGTTCAATTATGAGCAATACTGTTCAGTCATTAACAACCCATTGCTAGAACACAGAACGTTCTAAGTCGTTGAGAAAACTGATACTTTTGTTTTCCTTTTCAAATAAACTGACTGGTTTATTTACTAAACAGTGAGGTTAACAAAGATTGGGTTTTCATCTCCAATCGATATGACAGACAGGCGTCAAGAGATTTGTACATTTTAGACCAAAATAGCTGAGCTGAAGCATTTTTCCATGTTTTGCCTTTAAAATGTCCCATTTATTAGTCAGTTACTTACAATTACCAGTCAATTAATGCAAATTACTGGACTGTGTCAAATGGAATATAGAAAAGTTAAAATTAAATCAAAGGTATCTGATTTGTGAGAGGGAAACCCTCCCTCCATTTTGGCCTGTGTGTGTTGGCCTTAAATTTTGATATTCAGTTTTTAATGACCCATATAGTAAATAAACCTTATGTGAATTGTACTACATTCTTATCCAAAATAGAAGCAATGCAATGAGATTCTGACAAATTCCAGACATGTATATTTTTATTCCAGCTCAGGTTTCTTGTTTAATTTACAGTTTAGTAAATAAGCCCCAAAAGGGATTATATATGTTTTACATCAGCTGCTCATTATCCCTGGTCCAGTATAGAAAAGAGACTCCCCATTGGCTCTAACAGGCATGTCCTATTACTCAGTCCCCCGGCAACAACAACTACCTGCAGTTGTTGGCATTGCCTGTAACAATGCAATGGAGTATGGAGACCAAATTCATAGAATTTATTCTACAATGTGTTAGAATGTGAAGATCAAGTCACCAAGCTAATTTTGGTTAAAGACAGTCACAGCACTTAGCGATATATGTATAATTTTGCCTGTTTTTAGAATGGTTAGGTACCACTGCTTGGAATATATATACCCTCTACCGTAACTAGATATGGGGCATCAGAATCCTATTTTACTGCCACTTTAGTGTACAAACTGGTCCGAGAGGGATGGCACTATACATTGATAATAAGAACCACTGACTCATATTTCCAAACTGTGCTCCGAAGGCCATTTGATTTTATACAGATTGGGTTATTTACAAAACCCTGGGTTAAAGTGTATTGGAAACTGAATTGCACAATAAACAGAGCTATTGTCACATATTGGCTATTTTAGCCTGAATGTTGCCGTTTGGATATCATTGCTCTACAATTCAGTGTTTAGTGAATAAGCCCCACTGTGTTAATTAATAAACCACCTTCCCAGTAATGGTACCAGCTTTTCATATTTCAAGACATACAGCATTTAGAATAACTTCTAGCATTGTCTGAGCAGCCTGAATATAGGAATGCTTGTATAGCATTGTATTCTGTGAATACGCAGTGCATAAAGGATGCATTAAACATTAATTGGTTACTCCAAACAAAAAACTGCCTTAAGAAAACACTCTGATTTTGGTTAGTATAACCATTCTTATCCAGGCAACTAAAACTCACTTACCTTTCTAGTACCAAAGCAACGTTCACCCTCAGCCCAAGCCTACTCTGCTGACGCCGATCCTCTTTTCCTGAGGGGTGCTTGCCGATGACAGGTGCCAGATATGCCCAGAATTGACATAACCCAGTCTGGCACTCTTGTTATGGATTGGCTAATGACACCTCAATGATGCTCATGGAAGTGAAGTGATATCTCTGGCACTAAAGGGGTTAAACTCACAGAGTTTCATAGCAAAATACTGCACGTACAGATTGCAGGCACCATGACCACTTCAAATCACTGAAGTGGTCATGTTGCTCGGAGTGACCCTTTAAAGAGTCATGTAGCTCTGGGAATAGTGTAATAGATGACAAACATGCCAACTATTGTGATACAAAGATTAGGTAGTGTTGGTGAGGAATTCTTGCATAACAATAAAATATATGGGTTCACTCATCCCACCGTGCCAGTCTCTAGAAGGGGTGCCCAATATGTAAATCTCAATTACAATTACAACCTCCATGATTCTGCCTTGACAATTGTAATGCATTATGGAAAATGTAGTACTAAAACATTTAAGGATATACCTTTTGGGCAATCCTGGTCTATATACTTTGGCTTTTATTGGGGACTTTGAACCGTAATAGAGTATACATTATCTTTATTTATTACTGGTATTTATAAAGAGTTAACATATTCCGCAAAGCTGTAAAATTAGGAAAAAGACAATAAGAACAGTCGGATACAACCGGTAGAGGACCCTGCCCGTGAGATTACAATCTTGAAAAGTCAAATGTCTGTCTACTGGGAATCTCTGTGTGATGGGCAACTGTACGGTTATCCACTAAGCCATGAAATGTGAAGTTATAGGCCAAAATAGCCCAATTGGAAGAGTTCTACAAGTCTGCTATTTTGCCCTTGGATTTGCAATGGCCTGGTGAATTCTCGCCAATTCGCAGTATCATCAATAATCCTGTTTGGATGAAATATTTTATATTTCCCCTCAACCCTCTTCTAATATGTGAATTTCTTTCTTTATAGCTTTCCTATCGCTTCGCCAATAACATTGCATAAAGCCCATCGTTTACAATTAAGCAGCTATTCAGGTTCAAGCTAAATGGACATCAGACTTCCCCATTTATTGCCAAAACTCTAAGTATTGCTAGTATTGTGTAAGCAGCTGGCTAATAAACATTTTCATATAACTGGCACAGGAACGGTTTTTATTACCAGTCAGACAGCTGGGCATTCGATGGCTTTAATTCAGCATGAAATATGTGCCATTTTGTCATTCTGGGTTTGCATCTGAGAATAGCTATGAATTTTTCCAGTTGTTGCATTACCTCTGGTTTTAAGACTGTCAGCTGCTCCTGTCTCTGCAGGCATACGTTGGCACTATTTGCATCTGCAGGCTACATAGCAATTAACTGCATGCCTTCTGAGTGCCACACATGAGACACTTGATGCTTCCTGCCCAAAAAACACATAATAAACAATGTTAGCAGGCCTCCAAATGCCAGACGTATTTGCAAAATACTGGGTACTTCTCTGTTTAACCAGTATTACTGTGTTCTGTTTGTAGGCTCGTCTGCTAACCACTCACCACTTTTGTTAGCATAGAGCAGAATGTAGTGGCGAATATTTTTTAGAGAAATTCCAAATTAAATGTTAAATCTGAAACAACTCCATATGAGTCTACTTTTCCTGTTATTAAATCCATTCATGTTTGTTTTGTTTATTATAAGAGATTTAACGAGACACTATAAACACTGTAACCACAACAGTAGAAGTATCAAGCAGGCGCCCCATGGGATGGATTGGGCCCACTAGGATCCTGTAACCAGCCCATGGGTTTTAAGTACAACCAGGTCACATGGGAACTTAGTTCCCACACACACAACTGCGTTTATTGGAGGTCAGGCATAAGCTTGCGATTTGTACACCCCACACAACAGAGCCAACACAGAGAGATGCTAGGGATATCGGGGAAGCTATACCAGGGGTGTTTTGGTAGGAAAACAGCTGGGGGTCTTCGATATTGTGGAAAATATGTGAGCATTACAGAGCTCCTGTCAGTAAAACATTACTAAGTTTTATTGCTTTGTAACTCAGTGATGCATTTATATACATGCTGAATATTACTGTGAATTCTATTGCTCTGGAGCTCAGTGGTACATACATATGTCCAAACCAACATTACTGTGAGTTCTAATGCCCTGGAGCTCTGTGATACATACATAAGCACAAATCCACATTACTGTGAGTTCTATTGCTCTGGCGCTCTGTGATACACACATAGGCACAAATCCACATTGCTGTGAGTTCTATTGCTCTGGAGCTCTGTGATACACACATAGGCACAAATCCATATTAATGTGAGTTCTATTGCTCTGGAGCTCTGTGATACACACACAGGAACAAATCCACATTGCTGTGAGTTCTATTGCTCTGGAGCTCTGTGATACACACATAGGCACAAATCCACATTGCTGAGAGTGCTATTGCTCTGGCGCTCTGTGATACACACAGGCACAAAACCACATTGCTGTGAGTGCTATTGCTCTGGAGTTCTGTGATACACACACAGGCACAAATCCACATTGCTGTGAGTTCTATTGCTCTGGAGCTCTGTGATAATCACACAGGCACAAATCCACATTGCTGTGAGTTCTATTGCTCTGGAGCTCTGAGATACACACACAGGCACAAATCCACATTGCTGTGAGTTCTATTGCTCTGGAGCTCTGTGATACACACACAGGCACAAATCCACATTGCTGTGAGTTCTATTGCTCTGGAGCTCTGTGATACACACACAGGCACAAATCCACATTGCTGTGAGTTCTATTGCTCTGGAGCTCTGTGATACACACACAGGCACAAATCCACATTGCTGTGAGTTCTATTGCTCTGGAGCTCTGTGATACACACATAGGCACAAATCCACATTGCTGTGAGTTCTATTGCTCTGGAGCTCTGTGATACACACATAGGCACAAATCCATATTAATGTGAGTTCTATTGCCCTGGAGCTCTGTGATACACACATAGGCACATATCCACATTGCTGTGAGGTTCTATTGCTCTGTGATACATACATAGGCACAAATCCACATTACTGTGAGTTCTATGGCAGTAGAACTCCAGATGTCTGTGGGTAATGCAGAATTGAACCTTCACCAATTTAATTAACCACATGAACAAACCACTCAAATCTCCACGCACTATAACCACTAAACTAAGCTGTTGTAGTTATGGTGCTTAGTATACATTTATTGCCTATATTCTGCGAACTATATAACAATTGTTAGTAATGACGTTTTTATTAAATAGGCACCTAATGGGTAATTTCATTACCATATCCTAGAGCTTTTCTGAAAGGCTGATTACTATGAAAGATTTTTCACTTAGCGATGATAATCTTATTTAAAAGCAACGCAGTTGATATTTTATTCTTTTAAAGCATATCGTTTCTATGACTGTCGTATACAAGTATTAAATGTTACACCTCTGAGAAATTTACTTTGGCGATATTCTGAGATACTGACTTGGATACTGATAACGTTACTGGACAAAATTGGGAGTCATATTGTCAAATGACACTCCATTATGTACCTCAAGAACTACTGTATATTGTGCTATTCTATTCCTGTATTTTAAACCTGGTATTTTTTAAATATGTCCTCTCCCATTTAAATGATGTAACTGTACCTCTCAATAATTTCTGCGACTGGACAATGCTAAAATAGTGCAGTATAACATGTTCAGCATTGTATTCTGGTCTGGTTAGGTCAGTACTATGAATTGGAAGGAGGTGAAGCAACAATATGTTAATTTGCTAAATTGCTAATTGCTGGGATTTTAAGAAAGGAATTCTTTAATTTAAGCCCAGACAGCAAAACTGGAAAAACATGCTTTTTTCCCCCCACGCTCGGTAACTGGAAAAAACAGCAAGTTTTCCAAATGGAGACAGTTCATTATCATGGGAAAACAGGCAAATTCTCACAAAGCCATTTCATAAAACAAAAAAAAAACAATATATGTGTTTTTTGAAGCCTGGTGAAGCATAGTGATACAAAATGGTATCGCGTTTACCTTTCTAGCTGCTTAATCATAGCACAACCACAACATTTGCATTTTCAATTTCCTATGTAATAAAGAACCCACAAGTGAAAAGATTAACATGGTTTTCGAATTGTGGTGAACTGTAATTTTCGTCTCAAAATATAGGCTAAAATAGGTGATTTTGGAAATTCTCCAACTTAACTGTAATCAATTACAGTTTGATGTTTAGCGAATACACATTACCTTAATTCATCATCCTTATAGAACGGAACTCTGAATAACATCCCAAAAATAGCTGAGATTTATACGTTTGTTTTATGACGTGTATTATCACCTGTCATAAGCCCTATTGATATGCTAATAAAATCTCTCTGCTCTGTTAAAACCTGCCAAAATAGCCTTCCAGTAGTCTCTACTTTAGAATCTGTAAGAGTCAATTTTTGAAAAGTAAAAAAATAAACCATTAAATCATTTTATTTTTGTGATCTTGCTTGGCTCCTGAAATACATGGGATATAAACATATATTTAGAAGAAACAAAATAGTCTTAAGTACAAAACATACACATTAGTTTAATAGTCACTAAAGCCTTAATTCTTAAAAAAAAAAGTATAGTATACTGTAAATGTAAACCATTCTTTTTATAGTTAAAAGGCCTCCAGGACTGCCTTTTGAGATGAATGATTTTTAAGAGTAGGGGGTGTCATTGCAATGCCAGCCAGTAATGACCACAAGGGAGGAATGGATTATTTTGTTGGTAGTTAGATGTAGGGATTTATTCCATTAACACTGTAGTGTAGTGCAATGAATGAAAAACTGAAGAATTAAAGGGACACTGTAGACACTATAACCATCTCAACTATGCTCTCAATCAGCTATAGTGGAGGTTGAAAATATGGTCCAGCAGACCCCAGGTACGATGTCAGCCTGTTCTAAACCTATTTGACTACTTAGAAATAGGGGGGAGGAGCTCAAGACACTCTTAGGCACCACAATCACTGCAGTGGTTATGGTGCTTGGAGTGTTCCTTTAAGCAAACCAAAATGTTACTGTTTGTCGATTTGTCTGGTATTGTAATTATCTTATGGATTCTATCTCCTTCAAAACTAGTCATGACTGTCACGACATCTAATTAACTGATCCCTGATTAAAAATACAAATTCTTCTATGTAGGTAATTTAAAAAAAAAAAAAATGCTGCCTGTTTCCAAAATATATTTTTTTGTTTCCTAATTAGTATTTACAAATTTTATAACTCCACTTCCAGACCCTTATTTAATATATTCTGAAACTCCATGACCAAAGTACAAATCACTAGCCATAGTATCTGATAACTATCCTTTCAAGGGTAAAAGTGTCTATGTACGGAATTCCTGACTGTCTGAATATAGATGTCCAGACAAACCCTGAAATTGTTCTTACCATGAGCTCGGTGGAAGGTGAGCATAAAATAAATTAACGATTTATTAATCTCTCTGTTTTGTGCTTTAGACTGTGAGCTTGTATGAGTAAAACCATCACCACTAATTGTTCCTCTATATCAACGTGTTCCTGCTTTACATACTTGCATGTTGGTCCACTTTTTTGTACAGCGCTGCAGAAAATGTTGGTGCATTATTAAGAATACTACTAAAGTGTTGAAATTGGTGACTGTCTCTGTTAAAGTGACTGATAAAAGTGTATTTCATGGCTCAACATTTCATATCCTATGGCGCTAGACAGACCTAAAAATTACTCTCCACTGAAAGCATTCAATGGTCACCAAGGAGTAATGTTTACTCCAGAGCTGAATTTTCATTTGCCAATGGCTAGTAGGCAAGTGGAAATTTTGAGCCTTGCTGTATTCCATGGATTTGAATGGCAACATGTGACTCAGGGGAGCCTTTATCAAGTCATGGCTTTGTCATGACTTGACAAATGCTTTCCTAAGCCCAAACGTTGACTTCAGTTAAGTTGTTTTCCCCCCCTCCCCACGCATTGCAGAAACCCTTCTGTCACTTACCTGACATCAGCGCTGGGACAAGCTCCACCCAGGGACGGTGCAAGCCCCTTTGTGTGTCTCTTACCTCCAGCCCCTTTCTGTGTCTCATTCTTACCTATGCCCCTTTCTTTGTCTCCTTCTCCACCACAGTCCCTCTGTGTGTCTTTTTCCACTCAGTCCATTTTGTGTGACTTTCCTCCCAAGCCACAGGCATTGTTTTTCAGGCACACAGTCAACGTCATACAGGTACACTGTCATACAGACACACAGAGACACACAGCCAGAGACATACAGATACACCGACACCGTCACATAGACATACAGACATGCAGTCATACAGAGACATGCAGTCATACAGACATATACATACATACACAGAAATACAGACATAGAGAAAGATACATACAGAGGCATACCATCATACAGAAACATGCATATAAAGGCATACAGTTGCATGCATTCACACAGTCACAATTACATACTTACATCTGGTCCCTAAGGTGCTTGCTTCTGGCTCTGTGGAGTCCTGTTTTGCAGCCAAGCCTCATTGCTGGGCACCAGCCGCACTATGTGGTACACAGGGAGCAGGGATATGATGTTATTCATGTCCCCGCCCCCTCCACACAACCAGTGTAGGGGGCTGGGCAGGCAGTACTGGGCAGGGCAGGTGGGAAGAGGCTAGGCTCCACGGGTGGAAAGCTCTGGGCTGTGCTCGGCCATGCTACAAGAAGTAACCGGCTGGAGGGGAGCGCAGTGCGCTTCCCTCCAGCCGGACAGCCTGACATTGAGCCCCCAGGGCCGGTGCGCCCTAAGGCGGCTGCCTTATGGTAGCGCCGGCCCTGACTCCACCTCCACTCCTCCTCCCCCAATATCCGCCAACGTCAGGGACCTAATGTGCATGCACTCTCATTAGGATTACCCCATAGGAAAGCACTGAATCACTGCTTTCCTATTGGGTTTAGCTGACACTGGATGTGTTCATGCAGACTGTGAGGACATCCAGCGTCAGGCCACCAAAAGTCGCCTAACGACCCAGAAGCACCTCATAGGAAAGCATTGAATCACTGCTTTCCTATTGGGTTTAGCTGACACTGGATGTGCTCATGCAGAATGTGAGGACATCCAGCGTCAGGCCACCAAAACTCGCCTAACGACCCAGAAGCACCTCTGGTAGACAGCCACTAAAGATGGAGTTAACCCTGCAATGTATTTATTTATCAATTACTGCAATAATTACAATTGAAGGGTTAAAGGGACAGGGGCACTGCACCCAGACCACTTCAATGTGGTTCTGGTGGCTAGAGTGTCCCTTTAAAGTTTCCTACCTCTCACTTATCTTTGAATTTGTGTTTTTTGATCGTTTGACAACACGTGAGTTGCAGATGTTCTGTGTTCCGTTCATCTCTGTTTACCATGATTAAATACTTGTTGTGTTGCCAGAAATTCCAAAGGTAAATCTAGTTGGATATTTCTGCCTTTTTCCCCATTTTTAACTGAATAAATTGGTCTGCTATAGATGAGCTCCATGCAATAAGATAAATCTTTTTAGTCTGTTTATACTATCAGTGCTTGCTGTGTTGTCTCATCAGCTCAGATGCAGATTCCTTCTCCTAACAACAATTCCATTAATAATCTGTGTTAAAATCTCAAACTTATTCCAGCTTAGATTGAAATCTTGGGCATTCTAATACATGAATACAATCCTTTTCCTCTGAAGTTCATTTATGCTTGGTACATTGGTATGCAAAGTACAACCAATAGTGGTATACCAGAGTTTGCAGGTCCCCCCTGTAATTCTATAGGGTACGTACCTCCACACACATATCATGATAAGGCCTCTTACTGTGGTGGGAGGAGAACCTAACCCCCGGAGTGGTCCTGCTCTTTGTCCAAAGGTAGTGTGACCTCACTCAGCACTGTCGGTTCACTAAGTTACTGCTAGGTCATTAGGAAGCTCTAAAAGTGATTCTGTAGCATTTTCAAGGGACGTCTAAGATTCATCAACCTCCACAATAAATCAACTTCTTTTTAATTTTTGTAATTAAAAAAACAAAAACATTTGTAGTTGCTTCTAGTGGCACCTTAGACGTCTGTATTGCTTTCTCCTATTACTAAAATAATTCTTCAGTCATGGCAGTGTTCATAGATTTCAAATTATATTTTAGACCTTCAGTGCTCAACCTGTGGCTTGTGCCTGTCCTTGGAGGTTCAACGTCCATCCAAGAGGGCAGCACACCTTGCAGCCTGCCCAGGGGATAGCAGTCCTGTAACAGTCTGGTTTATATACAGACTGCGATGATTTTATGTGTTTTGTATAGCAGAGACCTCAGAAGGACGTGTTATGTTTGTAGTATTAATTTTACACGTTACCATCTGGTATTGAGAACAATATGTGGAAATCGAGAGGACACACATCCTGCCTTTTATTTTCACATCATACAACTCATACCGCCTTCAGACTTCCTGTCGTTGTGATGCCCTCAGGACAAACAACACAGCAGTGTACTCATCTGAAAAAAAAAAATACCACAACCCAAGTCAAAATATAATTAAAAAAGATTTATTGCTACAAAATGATGTTTTAATCTGGCACAGAAAGCTTTTTGGTCTGTTACATTCCCCAAGATTATATTTTCTCTTGATTCGTAAAGAGAATGAATATGTCTACACCTGTCTTACAAGTTTTCTAAGTCAAAGTACGTCACTCTTTAATAAGTGACCGGATTTAATATTCAGTACCTGTTGGATTTCAGATGCTAATGACATTTGGTATGAGACAGATACTTTTTGAGGTGTGTGTGTGCTGAATAGAGAGGAAAGGAAAACAAAACATTTGATATTTATGTGCTGGGAGGGAGGTGTTTCATTCTAAAGACGTGTTTTTCAAAGGTGACTACTAGGTTGTTGCCAAGTTTAAATCACTATGGATTGCAATGAAGGAACGAGAATTTTTTTTTGGGCACTTTGTTTTTTTTTATTTTTCCTAACAATGAGTGTTCTAGGCGGCTGTGACTATATCGAGCCTCACCTCAAATTGTAATACAGATTAGTTATAGTTGTTAAAGAACATTAGCTGTCATGTTACCTTATAATATTTGTGATTCAGGGTGTCTCTATGTGCCAGTTATAATTCATTACATATAAGGCATGTTGACAGAAATAATTATTTGGCGAACCTCTTAAGGTAGATTATCTTCCTCATCAATAGAGCATTTTTAATAATTCTTTAATTTCATCCTACTTTTTCCTCTGTGAATGATTGCAATGGTGGAGCAATTGTTTACTACAAAAATTCCAAAAGGAAGAAGTTCATTTCTAATCTATGTGAGCTGTGACAGAAGCGTACAATAAAACTCCATATTATGCGCAGCTTGGCTCTTTATAACACAGATTTACAAAACCATCATCAGAATGTAAAATATATGTAGTACAGATGACTGGTTGTAGTCAGACATCTGTACTTACTGTATATAGGTGTGTGTGTGTGTGTGTGTGTATAATATGCATGCACCCGGCAAGTACACTAAATGCTTTAATGCACAAGAATTTGCATATATATATATATGTGTGTGTGTGTGTGTGTGTGTGTGTATGTATGTGTATATATATATATATATATATATATATATATATATATATATATATATATATATATATATATATATATATATATATATATATATAATATAATATAATTATTTTGTAGTGGATAGAAAATAGCACTAACTGTTTAAGACCTAGCATCAAAAACATGAGTGATAGATTTTCGATATAAGTCGAGAATACTACACATTTTTAAATATTTGCAGCGACACACTAGAGACTATTATGTTTAGTACAGAGTTTAGTATAACCGATCGCAAAAAATTACTCAAGTTGCATAAAAAGACGATTGCGTCACAGTAAGGATATAACGTATTACCGGGCCTTAGAATGGCCAGACTAGTCATCAGACAGAAATAAAGCGTATTTAGAGTCAAGCCAAGGTCAGGGTAACGGAGAGACAGCGAAAACAAGAAATAGTCAGAGGTCAGACGGGCAAACAAGATAGGAAAGGGTTAAAGATAAACTCAGAGTCAAGAACAAAGCCAAGGTCACTACCAGAAGAAACACAATAGATCAAGGAACGCACTAAAGAGTACTAAAACAGAAACCAGGATAAGGCTAGGGAACTTGAGCCTTTAATTAACATTTGACTGGCCAACATCATGCCTACACCCCCAAAATGTGCGTGTGTGGGAATACCAGAATGAGGTGGGCCAATGGAAGCCTAAACCCACTTGTGGCTCCCACTGCCCCTTTAAGAGCGCGCTCGTGACACAAGCTGCTCTCCTAGTGCGAGGCAGGCCGCGTAGACGCACACTGGCAGTCAGAGCACGTGGCCCGCTCCGAAGAGGAGACCAAGCTGCGCGTGCGGTTCTTGCTGAGGACCCCATCTGGCCCCCTGTATAAGGTAAATACAACCACAGATTGTATGCAAAGGAAAAAGGAAGATAAAATAGACCAGCGTAATTCAGGCTAGTAGACAATCTTATATAGTAAGACTTGTGTCCACCAAAGAGGCCCCTGTGATGGTCCAGTGGCGGACCAGCACCCAGAGGGTCACTAAAAAATATATAAAATTTAACAGGCAATGCAATATTATAGTACTAAAACAATATTAAGGGAAATAAACAGTTACTCTACAGTACTTAGGCAATATTAGCTAGAGTCTTATTCCTAGACCCCAACTCAGCCTATTACCTCGAAGGGCATATCACAGTCCCGCTTTGACAATACATTCCTCCTATTTAGCAGCATGAGATAAATCTGTTGTGATGACCATTTAGGTTGGTGTGTTAGACCTGATGGTATTCTAAATGTCCCCTCCAATATTCAAAATTCCAAGAAAAGTCCTAAATATGACCTCCAGGGACCTAGGTCCCATGGTGATCTAGATTCAGCCTCTTCTGTCTGGGGGAACTGCCGATTCAGCCACCATTTTTAGGTTTGCTCTTGAGCTGGAGTCACCGACTTCCACAGGATTCCATGTGGTAACCTATGAGATGGTTCACCTTTCATCTCTTGTTGATTAGGAGTCTGCATGTGATTTTGTGTAATTTCCGTTAGGGTGTCAGATTGCTTACTGTAGTGGACCTTAGAGCACGTTGTGTCCACCATTGGCGTGACACGCTGGCTCTGTTATTGTCCATAGGTCCTCCAAGATGTAGATGGGTATCTCTGCTGGTCTAGAGGGGGAGAGGGGGAACAGGGCCACAGGATGATTCTATATGGGTCCAGACCTTCTTAAACTGTAAGATCAGCTGTCTCTCCCGTCCGATGTCTTAGCTATGTCTCACTATGTCTTCCATTTTTTTTTTGTATTGTACTGCTCCAAAGTAGACCGTACAGGTCAGGATAAAGATAAGTCTCTTAAAATTGCAAAATAAGAGTGCTGAGAGGCGATAAACTCACTAAAATCGATATCCAAACGAGGAACTCTCTAAAGACATCTCTAACCGACATTAAGGTCAGGCCTCACCCCATGTCAAATTTATTTTATGTGGGCACTATACCTATATACAGTAAGTACAGATGTCTGACCAGAACCAGTCATCTGTACTATTTAAAGGTAATGTATGCTATTTTGCAGCTTACACTCAGCCCTAACAGTGTAAACAGAGCCACATATTCCCCTCTTCCGGGCATTTAGAATGCAGTCTATACTTTTGCTTTTTGTAGTCCTCTTTAATGTAGGCAAAAGAACGGCGTTTAGAGTTGTTCAGCCTGATGATACTTTTCAGCAAAAACCTAGCTGGATGGATATGAGCTATGAATTATTGATCACTAATTACTCCTTGCTAAATTCTTTCAGTGCCATTGTGGTAGCCTAGCCAAGTATAGATTTACTGACTACTGCATTCAGTATGTGATCAGAGGATGGTAAAGAGAAAATACAAGCAGATGTTGGGTAAGGTGGTACCAACACATGTTGACTGTTGTGCATTTTTTATTCTTTAACCTTTTTCAGACTTTTTTTTTTTTATTATCATCATCCTCGGGTAAACATTGGGGGTTCTTTACAAAGAGCAGCTCTAAAGCAAAATTCTAAAAGTGAAGAAATTATTTGAAACATTCTGTTTTTCCCAGACGTGTTTTGGGTTAATAAGTCTGGCATGAATCCCCAGTTTTGGATCTATCAGTAAGTCTAGCAGTTTCTCTGAAGATTAATGGATTGACGTGTGGTTGAAAGCCCATTTATAGCTTAGCTTGTATGTTACTCGTAATGGGAGTATTTCTCGATTAAAGATCCCAAGCAGGATGGCCCAAAGTGCAGTAAAGGTTTAATGAGACTATCTAAATATAGGCTTGTAAATGTGGTTACAGGTTATAAAGCTTCATATTACAACCAACCATGGCTTTCTGCAGATCACATAATGTGCAGAAGTATTACTATACTATTTGGTACCTGTTCTCCAGTCCCACATTTTAATTGATGTTCCTCTCTGCTGCATATTGCATAGAATAATCCCTTTTGGAGCAAGAGGTAGATCCAGATTTACAAGCAAGGATTATATCACTCAAGCATATAAGAAGGACCTACACTATGGCACCTCATAGTGTTATTTTCCCAGTGACTGTAACATACTGCACTATTTCTGCATATTTTCCAGTGACTGTAACATACTGCACAGATTTCTGCCTTAAAGGGACACTATAGATACCAAGACCACTTCAGCTCATTAAAGTAGTCTGGGTGCAATGTCATCGGGGGAAGAAGAGCAGAGGCAGGTTCTATGGGTAGGGGGTGTGGCGAGGGGTGTACTATAGAGCTAGGAATACAATTTTGTATTCCTAGCACCATAGTCTACCTTTAATAGTTTAATTGATATGTTCCGAAATAAGTGAGTTTTCAATGATTGTTAAAATGAGTGGAGATTGGGTGATTCTAATGGAGCTAGGAAGGGAGTTCCATAGGAATGGTACAGCCCTGAATTACTTTTTTAAATTTTTTTTTTTAATTATTATTCTTTACTTTAATTGCGCAATTGTTGAACATAACAGTAGCATTACCACAGTAGCTGGTGCCAACATTCTCGTTCACATAAGTTTATGTGGCTTCAAAGACTTTGCACTTTTTTGATATAATGAGAAAAATCATGCAGACAACAAAGGTTTCACAATAAAATTAAAATAACAGTAGCTTGGCAATATGGTGTAGGTTATAATAATAATAATAACGATCCTGCTAGGACCTTCACTGGGTAAGGTTTAGTCTGTGTGTGTGTGTGTCGGTTTGGTCTAGATTATATTCCCGTCAGAGATCTGGTCTGAAACCATTTTGTAGTGTAAGAGCTTTTCCATGAGTGTGTGTATTAGTGCCCTGTATTACTTTTTAATAATCACATTTGCAATAATTTTTTTTACACCACTTTTGTATATAAGTTACTCAGTTTATATTGTTATGATTTAGTGACTAGTGTCAGGAGGTTTGGATTTGTGCCTAAAATGCCTTTTATAATGATACAAATCCCATGACTTGTATGTTTAAAATGTATTATTAAAACTAGAATTGTAACTTTTAGCATACACCTGTTGGTTTTAAGGATGGATACAATCAGGGTTATTTCATAAAGAGATAATTGTTGACCATTCAAAGTGAATTTCAGATTTAAGGCCAAAATAGCCTAACCAAAATATTTCTGAACTCTGGTTGCAGTTCAGATATTTTAGCCTGACATTTGAAATTCAGTTCAAATTCACTCTGAATTCCCAACAATTCTCTTTTGGTGAATAACCCGAAGTGTGTCCATCGAAGTAGTGCCTTCGTGTATCTTGTGTATGGTTCGTACGTGAGCATCTATATACAGTCCTTTTGCTCTCCGATTACAAATATTTCATTCATTTCAATGCAACCATGGAAACATGGTACATGACAATCTAGGCCACTTGCAGAACTCTCTGGCCTATGCGTGAGGAAAGGATTTTCTTACAAATAAGTTAAGTAAGATAACGCCTACAGTGACAAAGAAATATCACCAAACTGAAACCAAACACCACTCAAACTGTTTAGTTCTGTTTTTTGTTTATTTGCTGGGTGGATTGGTTGGTTGATAATGGGTGGGGCCTTAGAAGTGCTTCATAATTTTCTTTGAGTTGCTGAGACAACAGTTCTTCAAAAAAAAAAAAAAAAAAAGTAAGAATGCATACAGTAACAAAATAATATTAGCATAACGAAAGTCAAACATAATTCAAACTGTTTTTGTAATATTTATTCTTTTTTATTTTATTTTTGTTTTTTTGGATTAATTGTTTAATATTAGGCGTGGGATAAGAAGTGACTCGTACTTTTCTTGCCGAGTCGCTGAGACACCAGTTCTTCAAAAGTTGCAGATTGAAGTGCCACTTTATTTTTATATAGGTGATAGTCACACTTAGTTTGGCTGCCAATTCCCCTTGCTACAGTATTCAGAGTTCCTATGTCTTGCGGTTTTCTAACCGACATTGTGGTAATATATACTGTGAGCAGTGTGACTGCTGTCAAAAACAACCTACGACAGATGATATCTGTTTGTGTAGAAAAAACAAAACTGTTTTTAAAAGATGTGCGGAGAAGCAACAACTGGCTAAGTTTGAGGCATCACCACTCCAATAGCCCTGAGACAGCTACGGCCAAGCGATGACTGGGCAACGTTTCCATTAATCTTTGTCAAAAACGCATCTCTGTTTGCCAGAATATCCATTGGTGGTTATAATAAATGCAAATTATAATATATAATAAATTGCAATTTTGAGAAGATTCCATAGCGGTTTGTTTTTTCAAATATTTTAAAGGGGAACTCACATTTATGTTAGTGGGAGATCCTCTTTCACATCGCAGCATCTGTGATTAAAGCACTTGGAATATACAGTGCAGCAGACCCTTACAAGCAATATTTACCTGGAAGTAAGACTGGCTCTCAGGAAGTATATGGTAACATGGGGTTTAACCCAAAACAGAAATAATGAAAGTGTCCCCAGGCATTCACATGTTAAATGCAATTTGTTCGTTTTGTTTGTTATTCTAGGTGTTTGTTTGTATTTTTTTTTAATGCATTTATTTATTAATAATTCTTTTCTAGAACTTTTTACTGTGGAGAAAAGTTATATTTTGCATGTAACAGTGTAGGGAGGAACAGTTTAGTTTAAATAAATAAGCATGTAACCTGCACCGAAAACTTAATCTAGATCTTTAATTTTTTTTTTCTTTTACACAGATGTCACTATGTCAATTTACAAGTTTTAGACCAAAAATTGTCTCTAGACTCTTGCATTCCATTTCTAATAGTTTTAAAACATCTGCCTGTAGGGATGAAACCTGGCCGTAAGAGTAATATTTGTTTTCCAACGTGTCATTAGCAGTTAACCAAAAACAGACATGTCAGGGGAGGTATGTTTTTGTAAACTTTAAGGAAAAATACATTTTTCAGAAAGAATAACCGGTTCAAGATTTGCTGAGAAGTTCACTCCCTGGTCTGGATAGAGATTGCTGCAGAAGCAGTAAATACTATAACTTCGGAGGGTGTTGTCTATTTTATTTATTTCTTAATTATTTAAAGGAACCCTATAATCCCAAAAATAACACTCAATTTTTTTGGGTGGGGACTACAAATTCTCTTCTATGGTTGTGACCTCTTTCCCACCACCATTTGCTGTTAAAAGCTTACGTTAAATAAAGTTTACTCACCTGGTTTCTATAACCAAGACACTTCTGCAGCAGCCAACCGTTTCACCTTTGTCTTCAAGCAATCTGACCTCCTCTGCGATCTTGTTCAATGTAATGCTTGTCACAGAGAAGCATTGGGAACAAGATATAAAACACTGCACTCCTCCAATCAAATGCTCTCTATGAGCAACACTTGATTGGAGAACCGAGTTTAACTCCATTCTGGAGGGGAAAGCGTCTCAATTGGCTAAGAAGACCACCACTGGAGTTGTATTGAACATTGTAATGTAAACTGCTGTTTACAAATCTTCAGTGTTTTACATTGAGAGGTTAAAATACAGGTCACTGCACCCAGACTCCTTCATTAAGATGAAGTGATTTGGGTGCCTTTAGTGTTTCTTTAAGCTATAATAGCTATCTTGTGTAGCGTATCACGTAAAGATTACACTTGTACAGAGTTGTGGCTATTTAGTAATGGTGCAGTGTAGATTTTAGCTAAACAAAATAGCTTTGCATCAAATAATTCTCATTAATGAGAGAGAAAACTATTTGCAAATAAGATCCAAGGGGTCTAACTTTTGGCCTTCACAACTCTCTGTTCCTAGGACCTTGGAGAGCTCTGCAAGCACGAGAACCCGTCACGTCCTCTCCCGCTTCATCAGTCACTGTCCACTTCTCTCATACAGCAAATAGGATAAAGTAGTTAGAATCCTGCGGCAGCGTCTAATCTACCAAGTAATGCCAGTTATCCTATTTTGCAACCTTAAATTCCAGATTGTTTTACAAAGCAGCTTGGAATTAAGAGCTCTCGGAACACAGACTTTATTCACTAAATAGACTTGTGATGAATTAAAAACCAAATTGTACAATTCAGGTTAAAATAGCTAAGTTGGGACTCTAGCTGAGTCAGCTCATTTCTCCAAATCTGACATTTTATACCAGAGTTGTAGAACATATTTGTGACAAACTGCCATTTGCCACTGGGCATTGGAGAGGACTGATTGCCAGCCTCCTGCCACATGACTATGGCCCTGGGATATATGGCATTTGAAAACACTATTTGTGCCCTGTGACAAAACTGGAGATTGTGCACAAATATTACTATTGTCCATATGTTTTTGATTCCCTTCGTTTGTTGCACTGTTCCCTATGTGTTTCATCTGTTAGTTCGGCTGGATAGACTATCAGACAAACTGTGGAGTTACTGGGTGGCCACCATTTCATGTATCTGAGGCACATGGTGAGAACAATGGATGAAGCACATGGTGAGAACAATGGATGGCAGCCATTTTAACTCACAGACACTGTTTTGACTTTTCTACACGGTGCCATCTCACCGGTATTTGGTGCACAAAGACATCGTTCAGTAGTTTTAAACTACAGAACAGGGGACACATTTAACAGTAATTATTTTTCATATAGCCTGTATATGTTCTGCGGAATCTGCATTAAACCGTATCTTCCAAACTACTGAACGGATCTGGGTGAATTTTGGATTTGTGGTTCACCCAGATCCCCCCGGTTCCGAGGATATATTTTTATGGGGTTATTGCATGTTTTGGGGTCCCTGTGATATGTTTTATAATACTGTATTTTCCTGCCTGTGATAATTAAGTTAGTCTATTGTGTTGAGATAATTGTATCACAGGCAGAGGGGAGGATTTCTGATGTAATGAATTGGAATGTTAGCTGTGTTGTAATGTGTTGATTGGTTGTTCTTCAAAACCCTGTGGGCAGTACTATGTTTGTAGAATGTGAATAAAAGAGGCTGTATGTGCCAGTACAGACAGTTCTTCTTGTGCCTCAACACGTAGTCTGTCTCGTGATTGGAGGGGACAGCTATATTCACACTGGGGATTGCTATGCTCTGCATACTCCTTTGAGCTTTAATCACTTAGCTCTTTTAAGAGCTTGTTCCGGATACGCTCTCCTGAAGGAGAGGTCTTCCCCACACGGTCCTAGAGGACAGAAGCTGATCCGGGGTGGACAGAAGACGGCGAGACTCCAGTTAAGCTACGGTGGTTGTAGAGTCTGCGGTGATTATGGTGTCTGGTGCGGTGCTTGTGGTCCTCGGCGCAAGTTAGGAAGCGTCCATCAACGGAAGGTACTCGGTCAGAGTATGGGGAGTTCCGTTACAATATTATAAACAGAATATATCACATGGACGTCGAACTTAATTTTATTTTTTTTTATTATTTATTTTTTACTTTAGCTTGAATTAAGTGTACCATTAGAACTGTGATGGTTTGCTGCAGGGTCCTAAGTGCTGGAGTCTCTGCAAAATTTTCAAAAAGAGATTGAGAAACCGTGCACACATAAAAATACAGTTATAAATGTTATAACGCTACTAAAATCACCTATCTCTGCAAACAAATATGCGGATTCAGTTCCACCATATGGCCATATCGTGTTAAGTCCACCACTACCTCACAGTACCCCAATATCATTGGGTCCTACACTAATTCCAATGTGGGAAGCAAATTAAAGGGACAATCCAGGCACCCAGACTACTTCTTCCCATTGGAGCGGTCTGGGTGCCAACTCCCACCACCCTTAACCCTGCAAGTGTAATTATTGCAGTTTTTGAAAACTGCAATAATTACCTTGCAGGGTTAAGTCCTCTGATAGACAGCCACTAGAGGGACTTCCGTGTTTTTAGAACACAAAAAGTATTTTAAACGACACTGGACATCCTCACGCTATACACGAGGACCTCCAGCGTCGCCGGATTCCCCATTAGAAAGCATTGAATAACGCTTTCCTATGGGGAGGTCTAATACGCGTGCGGCCATTGCCGCACATGCGCATTAGGTCTCTCCCACCAGCTGACGGTGGGAGAGGAGCGTGGGCGGAGCCTGACCCAGCGCCGAGGGACATCGACGCTGGATTTAGGCAAGTCACTGAAGGGGTTTTAACTATATATAATGCAAAATTAATGTGATATAAAACACAATAAAAAAAAATACAGTGTCAAACCTAAACAATTAAAGTTATAGAGCTTTGATACATACACTCTCAATGAATATCATCAATGTGCTCTATATCGAATACAAAATTATTATTAAAGTGCCCGGTGATTCAGATTTTTTTTTTTTCGCCCTTTGCTCTGGCTCCCTACGTGTGCCACTTGAAATTAACATGGGATTGTTCAGCACTGGCTTACTTTGAAGCGTTTATGGCATTTGTCACTGATGGTACTCCATATGGAATAATCTTGAGTCACGTTATTGTAAATGATTGAGAAGTGTTATAGACTTCTATTAATCTAAATGTTAATTCTCGATCTAATGGAAGATTGAGTGATGAGAACCCTACATTACAACCGATTTTAATTTCCTCCCCTCACCCCCCAAACACCAGTAGTAAGCCAAATTGTGACCTGTCCTGTATTAATATTCAAATATGTCCTCAGAAATCAGATGAAAAGCTAGAAACGGCTTTATTAGTCATTTACACTTTGACCTACTATAAAATTTGAGCACATCATTTTTATTTTTTTTATATCCCATTACTGCAGTGTTTAAATATTTAGCATATACTTCCCAAGGCTGAATTCGTTAGGAACCTTAAAACCAGCAGTCACTCTTCTAGTGACCTACCCTTGTTTAATGCATACAAAGTTACATGCATTAATGTCCTAAGAAAGTGGAAAATATTTTGAAGACCAATGTAATAATGAATTATTCTGGAATGACCATGTAAAGAAATATATTGTGGGAATATTTTATATTCTAAAGTCATATATTTTATCTGTTTTTGCTAATCATAATCCCTTTATGAACTCGCTAAGATAAGTGTCCCTGCTTTGTTATCTATCCTCCATTATGTCAGATCCTGAACTTTTGATTGGTTGAGAGATCTCTGGATAATCCAGAGTCCTAGAGAGAGTGACTCCATCAAGGTACCACTGTAATAATAATATTCCACCTTGTGGTGTGTCTGTGGAGTGGGTAGTGGGAACTATAGAAGCTGAATAAGACTGATGGGCTGTAGAAGGTAGAACCAATAGTCAATCAGTTTGGAGGGCAGGTGGACAAGGTCTGAGTGGACAAGATGAGAAAGGTGGCTTCTAATGTTACATAGTTTCACACAGTTTCTCTTCTTTTTAATACTTGTGCTAATTTTTATGCAGTTCTAATCCATGTTTTGTTATTGAAGGACTTTGGCTTTGCAATCAGGTTGGCGTTTTCAGAGCCAATAAGATGAGATTGCATTTCTTAGAGAAGCACTGGAACCAATGATGTGTTATTAAGGCAATTTATAAAAGTGAATATTTCTCTTAAAATCAGCACTTTTATAAAATAAGACATAGGGGACATACATTTAACCCCTTAAGGACCAAAATTCTGGAATAAAAGGGAATCATGACATGTCACACATGTCATGTGTCCTTAAGGGGTTAAAATATTAAGCACTTTAAGCACTCTCAGTACTTTAGATGAATGGAGAATCTGTTTAAAATGAACCTTTTTTTTTGTAAAAAATAACTCCCTTTAAGTCATCCAATAAGTCAATGTAAAATATTGAGATAAACTCACCTCACTTCTGTTCCTTAGTTGCCATCTACAGACCTTTGTGGGTTAAACTCTTTGTGTTACACCTCTGGTCCATCTTCAGCTGCTTCTCTTGTCGTCTTTGACTTGCCTTGCTTGGGGTAAACTTTTCTGCCAACCCTTGACAGTAAAATTGTCAACATAGAGTATAGGCAGAAGATTTGACTGAAGTTGGAGAAAGATCCATTCTAAATTGGTCTTTTTCCCAATATATATACTAATCAGCCACAACATTAAAACAACTGGCAGGTGAAGTGAATAACATTAATAATATAGTGGCAATGGCACCTGTCAAGGGGTGGGATATAGTGGGCAGCAAGTGAACAGTCAGTTCTTGACTTTCATGTCTTGGAAGCAGGAAAAATGGGCAAGCAAAAATATCTGAGGGACTTTGAAAAGGGTAAAAATAGTGATGGATTGACAACTGGGTCAGAGCAGCTCAAAATTGGCACGTCTTGTGGAATGTTTCCGGTATGCATTAATTAGCACCTACCAAAACTGGTGCAAGGATGGACAACCAGTGAGCTGGCATATGGGTCATAGGCGCCCAAGGCTCATTGATTCATGTTGGGAGCAAAGTGTAACCTGTCTGGTCTGATCACACAGAAAAGTTAATTTAGGTCAAATTGCTGAAAAACTTAATGCTGGCCATGATAGGAAGGTGTCAGGTCACACAGTGCATCGCAGTTTGCTGTGTTTGCGGCTTTGTAGCCACATACCGGTCAGAGTGCCAATGATAACCCCTGTCTAGCACCAAAAGCACCTTTAGTTGGAGGCATGAGCATCAGAACTTGACCATGGAGGAACGGTAGAAGGTTGCTTGGTTGGTCTGAGGAATTACGTTTTCTTTTAGATCAGGTGGATGGCAATATGTGTCCTTTACCTGGGGAAGAGATGGCAGAAGGATGCACTATGGGAAGAAGGCAGGCCGGCCGGCAGAGGCAGTGTAATGCTCTGGTCAATGTTCTGCTAGGAAAACTTGGGTCCTGGCATTAATGTGGATGTTACTTTGACACATACCTACCTAGAGATTGTTGCTGATCACATACACCCCTTCATAGCAATGGTGATTCCTGATGGCAGTGGCCTCTTTCAGCAGGATAGTGCACTAATGTCCTGGTGCTAGATACCACAGGACAAATTCCGAGGTGGCTGATCAGTGTACATTTTCTAGTATATCTGCAAACACAATGTATAGATGAAATGTCATGCTATTTCAAAAGCACATTAGTTGTTTGACCGCTAACATTTAAATAATAATATGAAAAGCCAAACACTTCTGATCTCCACGAATATAGGTGGACACTTTTTGTTTGAAGAATGATACTTGGGAATATTAGTTTAGTGCAGTGTCTTGGCTTTACTTGGTTAAATGGTTGTTGTATCTTTAATTGTTCGGCACTAAATGTGTTAAGTGGGTTTAAGTTGGAATTTCTATAAAACGTTATAGGGGAGGTGCCTGTCCCGTTGCAGCACAGTCACTGATTGTTCTATGTGCGTTACACTTGACATGTGGTCGGAATCTTCCAGAAATCGACTTTCCTAAGAGAGACTATAAAGACTTTCGCTATCCTAACTGTCAGCCTGCATAGATGGAGATCATATATCAAGTTGGATGTTTTAATTCAGTCTGTATGACAGCTGGATTTGTTAGGGATTTTGTGTGTGCTGATTAATTTATTTTTTATGTAAAATTTTATAAAATAGACACTTAGGACACTCTAAGCACCATAACTACTAAAGCCCTCCGTGGTGTTTATAGTGCTAGCATGAATTTGGTGCCATCCCCTGGGTATGTCAAATGGTTTTGAACAGATTGACACAATTTGCAGGTGCCCACAGCCCTGCCCAAGGATGTCAATATCGGTATTGCAAAGTTAGAGTTCCACATTACCAATATCACTTCTTCTGCCAATATTTGCATCGAACCTATTGGCTGAGCACATCAACTGACATGTGCTAATGAATGCCATTCAAACTAATATGGTTATCCTTTTCGATTATCTAGACGGAGAGGAACTGGGTCAAAGGTACAAACACCTGGTTTGTAACAATTTCTTTAAAAATGGTTCAACATATAACTGGGAGACTCACCAGCGGCATGTTGTCACCATAACCACTACATTGAACTGTATTGGCTATGGTGCCTAGGGTGACCCTTTAAATTAGGGATGGGGAACCTTTGGCCCCCTAGATGTTTTAGACTACATCACTAATAATGCTTTTACAACCATAACGCTGGCAAAGCATCAGGGGAGATGTAGTTTACAACATCCGGAGCGCCGGATTTAATAAAACTAGCAAAATCTGTCAGCACCAAAGTAGCTGTTTAGTAGATAAGGGAGTGCGCTGGATTTTCATTTTTACTGTACTTATTGGCCCCCAGCAGCACCCCATTTAAGCATGTTCAGGTGAGTGCAGCCAGCCCCTTGTTTTCCCTTAAATGATAGTATTGGCATGGAAAACAATTATAACAGAATAAACCCATATGTCGTAAGAATGTCCAAATAATCATGAATTTGCATAAGTGCTCCTCAGGTAAAATGGAAAAAAAAGGTTGTAGAGAAAATATAACCCCACCCCACCCACCTGCCCTAAATATATATAATTAAGGTGTTTATTGTACAAAAGAAAAAAAAAATTATGGTATAATATAATCAAAATCTTCAGAGGAATATGAGTCACATTGATTCAGCTAGTTCCCCAAAATATATTTCTTTTGCGTTTGTGTTTGTTTACATGTTCAGGTTATATTTCTGTATTTCACAATATTGCAAAAAAAATCATGCTTCAGATTGGTCAGTTTTCCAGTATGGATGAGAAGTCCCTTACAAAAACGTATGCCGTGTAAACAAGGAATTGTTATAATTATGCCAGTATAGAATTTTCATATTTTGCAAAAATCGTTGGAATGTTACATATACATTTGTTACAATTAATTGATTTGACAGGATATTTTAGATTAGACATAAACATTTAGAACTAAAGTGTTTTAATCCTTGTTAAATCTACATATTTTTTATTTTATTTTTTTGTCCATGATCGTTCATCTTTTTCCCCCGCAGCATGTCTTCTACAAGCCGAGTTGGTGAATTATGAACGGGTGAAAGATTATTGCTTGAAGGTGCTCAATAAGGAAGGCGAGAATTTTAAAGCCCTTTACAGATCTGGAGTGGCCTTTTACCACCTGGGAGACTATGACAAAGCTCTGTATTACTTGAAGGAAGCCAAGAGCAGACAGCCAACAGGTACAATAACAACAAAAAGGAAACCAACAACATTGTTGCATAAAAAAAAAAATCATAAAATGATTTCAGTGGTAGTCATTTGTCTGTAGATAACTCATCATAAGAAAGTACTGGTTTTTGAACTAGAGAAGGAGATAACTCATAGCTTCTCAAACTACTTCTCGTTTTGTTAAACTACTAATAGAAAACTACTAATACATTTCTAAATGTATTCATTTTTAAGATAAATTGAATTTGCTTTTAAAACGCCAACTGGAAGCCTCACTGTTGCTGGGGAATCTCCTCTCCTACAAAAAATAAAATAAAAATTAAAATAAAAATATGATCCAGTTTACCATCCTTTTTGCATACCTCTCAAGTGTCCCCATTTAGGAGGGACAGTCCCTGTTTTGGGCCCAAATCCCTCTGTCCCTCTTTTCTATCCTAATACCCCTCTTTTCTATGAGCCCTTTATATTGTTGGTATATCTGAGTGTATAACAGAGCTCCACATCAATAATACTCACAGTGATGTGTCTTTAAACTACAATAAATGTGTTTAGAAATCAAATTGTGTAACAAAGACACATTGTTCTAAATTACATTTATGTTACATAAAATGTTCATAAGTCACCTAAAATTTTGGAGAAATGTATTTGTCCATTTGAAATGTTGGGCGCTTTAGTATTTCTGATCTATTCCCAAATAATACTTGCCTTATTTACGGAGGTTGTTTGAGATGGTAATCTATTCGCTGCAAACTGCAACTCCTTAATCTCCTTTTGATATATATATATATATATATAATGTGTGTATTTATTTATTATTGTCTAAGCCTGATAGGAGTTGCAGTTCAAAGTGGCCGTTACATCAGAATGGTTTATCACCTCCCAAATTGACTTGACTCAGAGCTTACCTTACCTTTCACATGTGATTTCTAAAAACGTTTGTTGGCTACAACACCACTGTGAGAATATTCGCTTCATAATGCGATATATTTTTACTTACTCAATCTCGTGCTGTCTTCGCTGTGCTGCCTAGCACTTTCTGTGCTGTAGGGATGTAAACCAGATAGCTTTGAACCCATCAATTGCAACCATTTGGACAATCTCACACTTCTAATATTAGAATCAAATCTCAGCCTTCCCTCCTCATCCTCTTAAAAAATGTTAACTGCATTGACCAGAGGTTATCTGTTACCTTAGGGCTGATAACAAACCACATTTAGTTTTAGACATCTCCCACAAATTGTTCATCAATGAGCCTGACCTCGTTAAAAATGCCTATTGCCATTACAGTATTGTGTACAATGCAGAAACTGAAGTACACACAACTAATGTACGCTGCAGAATTCTTAACTGCCCTCGTTGGTAACCAGCACACGCTCTCAAATTATCACTGGACTGCGTTTTCATCAGTTCCACAAGTAATTGGTTAAATCTGCTTGTCCAGGATAATATCCTCGCCAAAGTATGCAGCTGGCTATCTATAATATAGTTACACCTTATTGTGCATGTGGAGACAGATACAGGAATGTGACCCTCGAGCAGTAATCCGAATGCTGGAACAAATTTCTTTTAACTTCTTGAACCTCTTGAGCTACGCAGGCTTGTCATAGTTGAGATAATGAAGTATTGTAGCATTTAAAAGCATGCTTATTTTGTATATGTTTTTTTTATGAGTGGAGACAGTTTGTTGATGAATTAAGGAGTGCAATTTATCTTCTTATCTTCCATGTTAAAGGGGAGGCTCTGAGAAGTCCCACACATTTAAAGAGTTCATTACCCTGACTTCATACAGTGCACTGTAGTGATTATGATGCCTTGTGTGACCCTTTAACACAATAAAACCTGAAGTCTGGTTTGGGGTGATACTTCTCCCCAACAGAATTACTTAACATTAGTGAGCTGTGTAGCTCAGCAGGGCCCCTGATCAGAGTATGGGTGTTCATACATTGATGGAGGCCTTGATTGTAATCAATGCTGCTCAAAATTAAATCGCTGGATATCTCTTGGTCCAGTTCATGGGATTGTTTTATTTGAAGCGTAATATTCAATGTACTTCCTATGATGTTGTAATCACTGTTTGATCAGCCCCTAATGTCTGCTGTGCCCTCAGACTCCAAGAATGCGGAAATCAGTCTTCTTAAAGGGACACCGTAGGCACTGTATCTGCTTCATCTCATTAAACTGTTTATAGTGTCTGGAGTCTTCTGGTCCCATCTTTTCTATCAGCATTAAACAGTTTTTAAAATTTTAATGTTTTAATGCTAAACAAGAGTCCCCGGCAATCCATCCCCTCTGTGCTGCTTTGGCTAATAAGGAAGTATTAGCCTGAGCAGAAATGGGCAGCTGTGATTGGCTGAGAGTGTCAGCTGACTGCTTTAAGCCTGTCAGAGTTCCAACTGACGGTATGAGTGGGTATGACAACAAGGAAGTGTGTAATCTCTGCCTTGGCTACACATACTGAAGGGGCCGGACTGTGGGTGGCCAGGGACTCTTATTTTGTGGCCTACTGCACGAACATGGTGCAACACTGAATGGAGTGACAGTGCCAGGCACTATAACCAATTCAAAGAGATGAAATGCTTATAGTGACTACAGTGTCCCTTTAACTGTTTTTCACATAGTAAATAATACAAGCCCAGGAACAGTATACGGTTTTGTTTGATTATAAATATTTATTTATGTATTGAGGTAGGGGTATACTTATCACTTTTTTTTTTTTTTTTTTAACAGGTTTGTTTTGTAAGGTGTGAAAAATTCTAATTAAATGTAGACACCCACTCCTATCTAGCAACTGGTCGCCTCCATCTAAGTTTTGTCATTCATTTGGCAATCTGCATAGAAAAGATATTTAAGGGGGTGATTTTACATATTACATAATTTACACAACATTTTTAACAGAATATTGCTCTTAGCGTTTTGATATTTTCTTTACATTTTGTTTGTTCGTTGTTTTTCTATCATCCCATTCATATAATTACTCTGTCTATCCCCTTATTTCCATATAACAGTGATTGGAGAATTACTTTCATTCAAAGCTACATTTTTGTGTTTTAACATCTATATTCTGCGCGTCAAAAATCCAAAAGTTAAATTTCCAGGTGTAGAGACGAGGGAGGATCCGCGTTAACATTTCTTTTATGTATTTTGTAAATATTAGTTGGATGGTGGGGTACATTGTGGGTTTTTGTGAACTTTGTACATTTAGATGTTAAGGGACTGCGTAACTATTTGGATTAGCATCTTACTCTACCAAATCCCACTGTTATCTTTATCGGTTTTTCTTTTTAGCACAGTTTGTTGTCATCTCAACTTTTTCTGTCTTTTTTTTTCATTTTTCCTCTAGATACTAATGTGATTAGGTACATCCAACTGGCAGAGATGAAGATCAGTAGATGTTCCCAAAGAGAAAAGGAGGTCTCTTAAGCCCAGGAGTATTTCACTGTGCGTAGGGTCAGATGACTGGGTCATTGCAAGCGGTAAAGGTTAGTGACCCTCTGTCACTTACCTGCTCTCCCAGATATTAGCTCTTTCAAAGTTCCAGACTTGGAATTACTCAACTCTGCGTAAATACCTGGATCTGCTTATCTAAAGAACTAGGAACCACAAAGGACCTTGGACCGAAACAGAGAATATCCATCACGCCTCTGGTGTAATACTCAATGCTTCTGCAAAACAATCCGCCCTCAGCCTGCAATAGGGGTTTCAAGACACAAGTTGCTCGTTTTATTTATTATGTTTCTGCATATTAAAACGGTCTAACACAACATACATTTTTTTTTTCCTTCTTCTAAATGGCGCAAACTGTTGTTGTTCAGTGGGGATTTTGCAACACATGTAAACGTTGTTTTAAAAAAATGCTGGTATCTTCTCTAATTACAAAGTGAGAGAATTTTTTTTATTTTTTTTTAAAAACAGTCATTTTCCAAAGGGTATATGTTGAACAAAAACAGGAAATGTGCGTTTTGTAAATGACAGGTCTTTGCTGCTGATTGCATCCATCTGTTCGGAGTGCTGTGTTCGTTCTAGCTTTCCATCCAGATTCCGACCTGAGAACCAACAATTTATACTGAGGTTTATCTCTGAGTACCACTCTCTTTAAAGACCCAATCAGCGATGATGCACTGTATCCAATTACCATGTTTAGCAGTGTATGTCCGTCTATCAAGAGAGGGCTTTGATGTTATTCAGGCAGAATTCTGCGTTCTACAGTTTTTAACAGGTAAAGGGTGTCCAACCATGGCCCTACCATGCTGTTGTTTGACTACCATTCCCATCATTTACTTCTAGAGTACACTTTGACTAGTGTAGAGAGCAGGTAGATGCAAATGCTGACCATTAAATTGCAGGTTTGTATTGGTAACACAGATGGCATCAATATGATAAGATAGATTTTTTTTATTTTTTTTTTTAAATTGGATACAAAGACTTGTAAAAATAAAAATGGCAGAGTTCTCCATTTACTATATTAAAAGGACACTGTAGGCACCCAGACCACTTCAGTTAATTGAAGTGGTTTGGGTGCTGTGACCCTTTTGCACTTAGTGCTGCAATGTAAAACATTTCAGAGAACTGCAATTTTTACATCGCAGCACTAAGTCTGCCCCCAGTGGCTGTTTACCAGACAGCCACTGGGGGCGCTTCCGGAATCCAAACTGACTTTTGGTCCGTTATCTGACGCGGGACGTACTCATAGACCTCCAGCGTCAGATTTTCCCCATGGGAAAGCATTGAATAATGCCTTCCTATGGGGAGGTCTAATGCGTGCGCACGACCATTGCTGCACATTCGCATTAGGTCTCTATCGTCGGCAGGCAGGAGCGTGGGTGGAGCCTGACCCGGCACTAAGGGACATCGGCACTGGATTTCAAGTAAGTGGCTGAAGGGGTTTTAACCCCTTTAACCATGCAAGGGGGCTTGAGGGAGGGACCTATTAAACCTAGAGTGCCAAGAAAACTGGTTTGTTTTCCTGGCACTGTAGGATCCCTTTAACCCCTTAAGGACACATGACATGTGTGACATGTCATGATTCCCTTTTATTCCAGAAGTTTGGTCCTTAAGGTGTTAAAGACCCAAAACTGAGATTTCGTGGCTGGGATTCTAGATGGGAACTGACTGTGGCACTTTTTATAGATATTAAAGCCATTTCTTAGAACAGGAGAATTGTTTAAGAAGCACAGAAACTAGCCATTTGACTGTGGATATGGACCTTTCTGTTCTCCTTAATGACATTTGGCTTTGTGAAGCATGGTTAATTAAAGAAGCACTCTCAGCACCCTAACTACAACCAGCTAAAATTATACTCTGCTTATAGTATAAGCAGTACATTCATCTACATATTAATGCACATATATTAATATACATTTATAAGGAAAAAAAACATGCATTCCCAACGCAATATTGACCTGTAACCATTTAGTAGACCAACCATGAAAATGTAGTGTTGCTTACATATTCTCCCTTGTCGCCCTGCCCTCTCCATGGCTGAGATCATCAATCTTAATGATTTCAGCCAATGCAATGATTCCCAATAGGAAAGCATTGGGAGGCTAGTGCGCATGCACTGTAAAATGCTGTGCTGTGCTCCAGGTGGTGTTCAATGCTCTTAACAAAAACATGCCTCCATCGTGTCCTAAATCACTAGACAACTTTGCCTGCTGTACATTAATTCTTAACTGCCAATAGAACAAGTCTACCTGCTCTCTCTTTTCACAGTGAAAATGCTTAGATCATTTAAAGAAACACTGTACTAAAGAGTGTAAGTTATCAAACTATTGCAAAGTTTGGCTTCTTACGGGGGGGCCACCCGGGCACTGCTCCCCACCTCCACTGCAGCTACAAGAGCTTTTGCTAGCTGTCCTAAGCCAAGTCTTGCAACGCAGGGCTAGCTGATGCGCTAATGCCTTCCTTTAGCTGTAGTGGAGGCAGGGAACAACAGCCAGTGATCCCAAGTAAGAAGTATGTAGTGGTTATGGTACTTTAAAACAACGTGCACTGAACACCTAAATTTTAAAATGGACTGTATTATTGCCTAACACATGACATTTCTACGCCTTCAGCGTACGAAGGTTCTCTCCGCAGTTACTTACTTACTAATTGGGTATTCACAGAGGAAACGTAAGCACAATATTGCAATAACCTGCTTTAGCACACTAGACATTGGATTGCTAACAGAACACTAGAATAATATAGCTTGATGTTACTCACTATAGACTGGATTCTTTTACAAGAGATATTTAACTTTTGTAGCTGAAAATCAGTTATCTATGTGATTGCTATTCAATTATCAGAAGTATGCTCCTATCTCACAATACAATGTAGCCATATGTAGGATTTACTGTACTGATTGTCTACATGTGGCAAACTGCAACAGGCCCATTTGTTGAAAAAGGGGCATATGTGTGGGGATCACCTAGTTTTCCTGGAAACACATCAAGCCTTCATATTGTTCAACAGTGCATGATAAATGCTGCCATGTAAAAATTGGGTTTTATTCATTAAACTAAACCTATACATTGTAGCAAACTGATCCCTGCATATCAAAATCAAGGCTAAAATAGAAGAGCTATGAATATAGCTGAGAATTTTTCCAAATCCTCTATTTTTGCTTAAGTTTTGCTATTTTGGTTTCAGTTCTCTATATTCCTAGATTTTATAAATTGAAATTTAAAAAACATTAATCCATAGATTTCAGTAGTTTGTTACCTCCTGAAACTCATACATTATATGTACCGCAGGACAGCACTTTTCATGCACTAACCATTGGTATTAAGATCTGATCGTGTCTTGGAAAATCTAGTGTAACTAACAACTGTACATTTTCACATCCCAAATTTTTTAATTTTTCTTTTTTTTTTATTTCAATTTTTTACCAATTATTATATTCAGTCTTGCAAATTGAACTTATACAGTTTATTTTTTATGTTGTTTTTTTTTGAGGGGGGGTATTTATTAATTATAATTATTATTAAGCAACGGAATGCTGGTTTCAGCCTGATGCAATCATGAAAATCTAATAATTACTGCTTGTTGCTGTTACATTAAAGGAATACTTTACTGACTTTTAAACTGGTTGTGGTTTAAATTCCTGCTTAGACTGCACGTCCTCTTTAATTCTAATAGACTGATATGCTTTATAATAAAAAATCTGTATTCTATATTTTGTACATTATTTGTTATTATTGACATGATTGTTTATTGTATCTCAGAATATTTTATGATCAATTATATTGTATTATATCAAAATGCGCACATGCTTTGATTTGCAAGCTGTTACATTTTACTACAGGAATGTTAGAAGATCCACTTGTGCCTTTTTAGGGTCATTCATCCCATGTCACCAGAAGGCTATACTTGTGCCACATAATCTTCATCAGCCTGTATTCTTTCAAAGTAGTGGTTATGGTTCCAATAGGCTATAGGCGCTTCCTCGCAGTTGAACAAGTTGTAAAAAAACAAATCCAGGAGTCCTTGAGGCACCCAGTCATCTACATTTAAAATATTGATGAAGCTGACCTCGATAATGTGGAAGAGGAACTTCTGGAGGTAGTGGAGACCAGGCTTGCACGTTCCTCAAAAAATCCAGTTTTGGTAATACTGTTTAACCAAGAACATGGGATGATACCATATTCACTACACCAGCATGTAGTAGTTAAATCTTCCCGATTGCTTAGTGTTGCAACACTACCACCACATTAGCCTGTAGTAAAGAAGTCACTCCCATGAAGCAACAGCAACTGGGCTGGGTAAGAGAGTCCAGAAAAAAGAGCAGTAATAGAATACTGAGAACTACAAGAAGACATGGAGAGAGATAAGACAAATAAAAAAAACATAGTGTGCAAAGGAGGCCTGCCCTAATGAATCTAATAGAAAGGACTCCCGTCACCTGAGAACAATATACAAGCATCCTGCACTCTGGGTAGACCTTGGTATCCAACCTCCAAGACATCTAATTCAACACGAGCTAACCAACCACCGAAAGACTCCCCACAACCCACAGATGATTTAAATCATAAGATTACAGAGGCCGAAAAAAGACGTGTCCTTTAAGTTCAGGCTTTCTCATGCAAAATATAACGTTATGGTTAATATAAAAAATAACCGTGTGTTAGAGAACCTAGTATGGCTGCAGTAAACCACTCTACTGGAAAAGTAAGGATTCCACTAAAAAATCCTTAATATTGCAAAGTAAAACAAAAAATATATCAGATAAAAATCTAATAAAAAATCCAGGAATGGTTAACGTGATATACCTTTAAATCTCTTTAGAATAGTGGTAAGACTAGTAATAATTCATTACTTACTTAAAATTTCATAAAAAAATATATCATAAAAAGTATATATATTTTGTGCAACAGATCATTCACAGTAATATCCAATAAATAACAAAACAAAAAAAAGAAGAAAAGGAAATAAATTGTCCAATTGATAACAGTCTTGTAAATAGATACTATGTATCAAATAGTAGCAGCAGTCTTTTAAATTGTAAACTGACTCAGTTCACTCCAGTTATAGAAGAACTGGTATATGGATACTGAGTGAGTTAGTATACTGTGTGTACAATATTATATTATAAATGGTCCTATTTTATAATAATTGTACCCTTGTAAAAAGTAATAAATAGATATAAAATATCATTGATAGGTCATAGTTGATGGCCCTCAATAAAATATATGTTTAATTCACCATTAAAAACTGAAGTGCTGAAATGGTTAAAAATATTCAATTTTATTTGAAAAAATCAAATTAAAAGTTATATTAGGCACTCACACTTTGATATCAAACTTCTTGCCCGGTTGCAGTTTTGGAACCTGGTGTATACAGTTGTTGCAGTCCGATCGTCAAATAAATGGAAGAGCTGGCTCTCCGTGAGCCTCGTGTGTCTCTTTGTTTTCTTCCTTCGTTCGGCAGCAATTTAAATTCCACTAGGTAATCTTGTTACTGATGTGTAACATGTAATAGTTGTAATCACTAGGACAGTAGGTGAGCAGGCTCTCTGTGAGCAGCGTGCGTGTCACAGTTCCTGCGTTCCAGGGCAATAAAGTTGATTTGCGATAGGTGCCAGAAAGCAATGAATGTCGTAAACAGAGTTGTCCTTACGCGTTTCGTGAGAAAAGTCTCACTTCATCAGAGGAATTTAAATTGCCTAAGTGTGAGTGCCTAATATAACTTTTAATTTGATTTTTTCAAATAAAATTGAATATTTTTAACCATTTCAGCACTTCAGTTTTTAATGGTGAATTAAACATATATTTTATTGAGGGCCATCAACTATGACCTATCAATGATATTTTATATCTATTTATTACTTTTTACAAGGGTACAATTATTATAAAATAGGACCATTTATAATATAATGTTGTACACACAGTATACTAACTCACTCAGTATCCATATACCAGTTCTTCTATAACTGGAGTGAACTGAGTCAGTTTACAATTTAAAAGACTGCTGCTACTATTTGATACATAGTATCTATTTACAAGACTGTTATCAATTGGACAATTTATTTCCTTTTCTTCTTTTTTTTGTTTTGTTATTTATTGGATATTACTGTGAATGATCTGTTGCACAAAATATATATACTTTTTATGATATATTTTTTATGAAATTTTAAGTAAGTAATGAATTATTACTAGTCTTACCACTATTCTAAAGAGATTTAAAGGTATATCACGTTAACCATTCCTGGATTTTTTATTAGATTTTTATCTGATATATTTTTTGTTTTACTCAGGCTTTCTCATGTCTGTTTTTCCTGTTGATCCAAAAAGGGCAAAAAAAATTGTTTAAAGTGCTTTCCAATTTTGCAACAAACTAAGGAAAAAATCCTTCTTGAACTAACAATGGCAGTCAGATCTCTCCTTGAATCACGAAGCGGTTACCCATCATATTAAAAATGATATTATGTATTAAGATGCATTAAAACACAAATGATAAGAATTATATATGGTGATATATATGTATATGTAGATATACTGACCAGTTGCATATTGTAAAAGAGAAAACGTTACGTGACGAAAACAAAATGTTTACCCTATGCCAAGAAAATCCCCTCTCCCCCCAATCCGTAAATATTGCAACATAAACCTCATTTTTAAAAATGATTATCGTAAAATAAAGAGGATTAACAATTAACCCATTACCCATTGGAACTTACCCATTATAATGAGATCATATTATCTTGACTGCATACTGTCTATATTGTTTTATACCTTATATCCCTTTTACATTTTACTACCAGTTTGTGCTAACTATGTTTGTGTGTTACTGGACATGTGATGATACAAAAAGACAAAACAAAGACCGTTCTAAATGAAGCACCTCTGGAAAGTTCTGACCATAGGCATCAAATTAAATGAGTATCATCCTACATCTTGGAAGAAAATGATAGAACGCCTTCTTGACAGTACGGTTCACAGTCAACATTAACCTCTCTTTCCTGGCTAATAATGGCAGCATCACTTATGGGTAGTTCCACCTTCAGCCAGATCAAGACAGGTAATAACTAATTTAAAAAAAGAGACTGCTTTAACACACAACTTTTATGTTTGTTTTAATAATGGATACTATTCAACATGGGAGATCAGTTGGCCCTGAAATTGATACGGTGTGTTAAAGCAGGTAATACTGTTACGTCTCTGCACTGTAATTTTACCTTCATATTTCCAGGCAGACCTCCTAGTGTTACTAAATACGACCTCAGGCAGGGTAGCAGTATATGGTGGTAACTAATATCTGAATGCAATTGTGGTTTATGTCTGGAGAAGTCCGCTCCCTCTAGGTCCCAAAAAATTTAAACCGAGAACCAGATTTACATGTCAGGTGTCCCTCCCACCCCTAAATACAATTCTCTGTTGCATGCGACAACTTGGAGGAACTACAAAATGGCATAAAACATGCAATTACTAAAAATGTATATCAAAACATTAGATAATGTATATTTGAAGTCACGGTAGATATCCCTAATAAACTGGTACCTATAGGCAGTTATAAAACTAAAAACTACCTCTATTATGAGGTAGTATGTGATACAATAAAGTGTCTTGGTGATGAGCAGCTCGACACTTAATGTCAGATAACCTTTTATCCACAATACATAAAATACCTATTGGTGGAGTGCTCAGAAATAATGTCTGGCCTGTGGGGGTACCACGTTTACCCCTCAAATACAGTATTAAAGTGTACTCGAAGATACAACATTTTACCCGTACTCTGTCAAGGATATACAAAAGTGAGAACTGTCCATAATTCAAAGTGAATTTTAAATTTAAGGCCAAAGTTACTGGACTGAGAGTATAACTGACTTGGTGAATTTTTCCAATTCGGCTATTTTTGACTTAAATTTGAAAAGTTACTTTGAATTTACGTTGAATTCCCAGCAATTCTCAGCTTAGTGACTAACCCAGGTCTACACTCACAGGGTTAATAACTAAAGTGAGAATGCAAAGTAAATTCAAAGTGAATCTAAGGTCAAAGTAGCCAAGATGGAAACATTGTCTAAGGCAGCTGTGCTTTCAATTTGGCTACTCTGGCCTTGAATTTTAAATTCACTTTAAATCCTCAGGTTAGTAAGTAACCATGTAAACATATTATTCACTAACATGGTTATTTACTGTAGTGAGAACTGATGTAGATTCAAAATTAATTCAAAGTGAAGTTTAACCCCTTAAGGACCAAACTTCTGGAATAAAAGGGAATCATGACATTTCACACATGTCATGTGTCCTTAAGGGGGTAAAGGAACACTATAGTCACCTAAATTACTTTAGCTAAATAAAGCAGTTTTAGTGTATAGATCATTCCCCTGCAATTTCACTGCTCAATTCACTGTCATTTAGGAGTTAAATCACTTTGTTTCTGTTTATGCAGCCCTAGCCACACCTCCCTGGCTATGATTGACAGAGCCTGCATGAAAAAAAAAAACTGGTTTCACTTTCAAACAGATGTAATTTACCTTAAATAATTGTATCTCAATTTCTAAATTGAACTTTAATCACATACAGGAGGCTCTTGCAGGGTCTAGCAAGCTATTAACATAGCAGGGGATAAGAAAATCTTAATTAAACAGAACTTATAAATAGGGCTCTCTTTACAGGAGGTGACTATAGTGTCCCTTTAACATTTAGGCCAAAACAGATTAATTAGAAAAATTCTCCTAGTCAATCCTGTATTCAGTTTTGGCTATTTTGGCCTAACATTTAAAATTCTCGGTGAATTCCCAGTATTCTCACTATGGTGAATAACCTTATGAATATTGAATTTTTGGCAATTTCAAATAAATTCAAAACTCAAAATCTAGCCCAAAATAATTAAACTAGAAAAATTCTCCAAGTCAGCAATTTTTTCCCCCTTTACCTGTCTTGGCCTAAATTTTTAAATTCATTTTTAATTTATTTGAAATTCCCAACAATTCACCCTTTAGTAAACACCTACCTGATAATATATATATTTTTTATATTATTTTTTTAAAATTTATATTTCTTTACTGAAAAAAATGTTTTCACATTTAATAAAAATATGAATAAAACTGCGTATATTTTGTATATAAATAGGCGATAGGAGTGTAATTTTAGTGCCTATAATCTTACATAAATAGTGACAAATTTTGGGGTTAGTAACATAGTGGCTAGACTAGAAAATTCAAACAGACATTTATTCAAACTTCATTCGTACTGTGGGACCTTGGGAGAGAGGGAGATTAAAGATTTTTATGTGTCTAAACTAAATGGTCAGAGGGAAAGCCTTTCAAGTATACCAATTGTATTGCTTAATAGTTTATGTAATTTTTTTCCAGAGTTGCCTGTAGCTTTTGAATGTTTCCACTGTATTTAATAGTGTTTAAGATGGAAAGTATATGGGTCTGACAAAATGTAATGAACTTGTCCTTCCCCCGGACTCTCAGATGATTATCTAATTAAGATCATGCTAGTGAAACCTGTAGACATGACCTGTTCAACATTCTACTGCTCGCTGTGTGGTGATGTGAAGGTAAGATTCCAACTTGAGTGAAACAACTGATTTTTGATCGTACATGTGACCCTTTAAATGGAAAGGACTACAAATGTGGATTTACAAATCTAATGTCATGCCTTTTATTATTTTGTGATTTTGGGATCCTCGGTCATTGAACACTTTGAATTCTGTAACAGCATTCTCAATTCTAAACTTCTATCTAAACGATCTGGCCCCATCACATATTGCTGAGTTTGTTCTGCTGGGTGTAGGTAGGTAGATGCATAAGTACAGGTGTGTGAGATACTTGATACCACTTTATAGTATGGCTCAAATTGATTTAGCAAATTCTTCTTTTATAGAATGTGTATATAGGCTTGATATTGTAGAGTGAAGTGATGTATAGGTATTGTAACGTTTTGGCAATGATTCTTAATGTATCGGGGTGGTAATCTGTACCTGTAACTCTTAAAGCAATATTCGATAACTGTGCCATATTTATCCAATCACAAAATGTTGGAGAAGGTAGGCACATACTGAATTGGTTATAAAATCTAAAAAAATAAATAGTTTGTTTGCATAACAAAATACCAGCTCTCTTAAAGGACCACTATAGTGCCAGCAAAACATACTCGTTTTCCTGGCACTATAGGGTCTCTAGGTCCCCCCCACCCTCTGGGCCCCCCTCCCGCCGGGCTCTAGGGGGTGGAAGGGGTTAAATGTACCTGTTTTTCCAGCGCCGGGGCGGGGGACTCTCCTCCTCCATTCTCAATGCTTTCCTATGGATGCTGGCATCTTCTCTCTGTGAAAATCACAGTGAGAAACGCGGAAGCGCCTCTAGCGGCTGTCAATGAGACAGCCATTAGAAACTGGATTAACCCATTTATAAACATAGCAGTTTCTCTGAAACTGCTATGTTTACAGCAGAAAGGGTTAATCCTAGATGGACCTGGCACCCAGACCACTTCATTAAGCTGAAGTGGTCTGGGTGCCTATAGTGGTCCTTTAATATGACTAGTCCTCTAACTTTACTAACCAGAAGAAATGGTGCTATGGTGGACATGTCTGATCTACTACTTTTTTTTTTTTTTTTCCTGAACAATTGTCAAAATATGGTTAGTATATGAAAAGTACTTCCCAGCAGTCTGTAACGTGCATATACCGAAGGAATGAGTATTATTATGTTAATTAAGGTGGAAGCCCACAACATCTTGAAGGTGGTTATTCATTAAAAGGACATTTCAGACCCCTAAGGCACTTTAGCTTGCTAAAAAAAGCTTTACGTGTGACTGATTTTTTTTTTTTTTTTTTTTCACAAAGTGAAGATTTCATATTTCATAGAAATTGAAGATTATATAAATTAACCCCTGGTTACACCCTCTTGCCTTTTCAAGCAGCCAGCCAGTAATGTTTCTTCCTGGTTTGTTTAGCTCAGTAGATCAAAACTCGAGAGGCAGCAATTGCCCAGAGCAGCTGCCTTGCAAAGATTTCAAAATTAAGAAAAAACAGCCCTGGAAAATGTTTATACTGACCTATAATGCTTTGCATCAGTAGAGCTGCAGATATACAAGTGGAAAGAAAGACTTGGCTTGCTAGAGTGCTTTAGGGGCAATCTGTGTGCCCCCCCCCCCCCAATTCATAAAACTGGCAATTTCAAGAAGTCTTCCCTTCTGTTTATACATTTGGGAACACCCCCTTGCAGTCAAACTAGTAACCAAATAAGGAGCTATCTGCTCAACAGCTCCTTAATTTGGCATCCTTAAATATGGCAATCCAACATTAGGTTACCAATTTCGGGAGTTATCTATTGAACGGATGAAAGATCAACATGAAAAGAAACAATTTTCTTAATTTTGGTCTTTCAGCAGCTTAGTAGATAGCTGCCTATCTACTAAGCTGCTGAAAGACCAAAATTAAGAAAATTGTTTCTTTTCATGTTGATCTTTCATCCGTTCAATAGAATTTAATTAAGTAAAACTATTGAATTTATTTAACCTTTTTTATTCACACTGATCCATCCACATACACACTGACCAATGGATGAATTGACGAGAACAACACAGACACACACAAAGTGACCCATAACACATAGACACAAACACATGTACAATGACCTACACACACACTACAGATGCTCTCTCTGCACAGTCTAATTACCTGCTGCTGCCCAGGGCTGTCATTAGGTCTGTAGCTGGGGTGAGGATATTCACTGTCTTTCTCCTGCATTCCTTGATTGTCAGCTGCCAGGATATGACAACACGCAGGCTCATGTCGTTACAAGAGGCGTCATTTTTAAATCATGACAGTGTACATCACTAAGAGATCAGCATCTAACTGCCAGACAGACGTCTGGATGACCTACGTACCATGACAAACATTGACGCTGTTCAGAATGTTGAACATGTTGGTGCGCTGTAACCATTTCTGTGCCCTTTCCTCTTATTCTACATCTTCAGGTTTTAGCCCCACGTCTTGGTGGAGACAACTACAATATTCTATCTGTGAGTTTAGTGGTAACCTGTGCATTGCATTCATAAGGTGAGACAATTCTAGTTGAAAGTTACTTGTTCCACACCACCAAGATAGATATATATATATATATATATTTGTGTAAGGGGCAAAATAGCCGTATATGGAGTAAGGATCCAGCATAAACTTAGGATAGTGTAAAGGGAGCAAGTCGGTTGTGGTGTGCCGATACCGACGATACGGTAGGCCTCCACCAAGGAGTAAGAAAGTAAAGTAAATGGAAAGAAAAGAGAAAGTGTTGAAATGAGGAGTGGGTGGGAGGGTCATTCTGATGCTGACCTCAAGCGATATGAGTCAGGTAAGGGGTGTCCCTTATATAGGGGAGTGAATTAATTTAAGCCCCTCCCACAAATACAGGCAAAACTGCCTTAATACTTGTGTAAGGGGCAAAATAGCCGTATATGGAGTAAGGATCCAGCATAAGCTTAGGATAGTGTAAAGGGAGCAAGTCGGTTGTGGTGTGCCGATACCGACGATACGGTAGGCCTGTAAATAAAGAGGGCAAAAATGAATAATCAAAGATTTAATACAGTCAACAAATATATACAAATTAACCAGACATTTCCTTAAATGCATTACAGTATTTAATTCCTGAAAGGATTTTGAAGGTAGGAATCTAGGACCGAAAGTGGGCACCATTTGTTGTGGGTAGGATAGTATGTTATCTCTACTGTTGGTGCATGTTGACTCATTTCGGAATGTGGTAGAGCCAATAGGTAATGATATATGTGTTTACGTACGTGGGATCGTTGAAGACAATGATCTGTCTGAGTGGTGGTGATGGTAGTGGATTCTCTGGCCTGAGAAAGGCATAAAAGGCAATGTGCATGGCTGGTAATGGCTGACTTGGTAGTATAATTGAATGGTTGTAGATCTAATAGGTCCGATAAGGATGAACAGTTGGATGGCTATTGGTAATCTCTGAGAGGAACGTGGGGGAATGGATTCCTGAAAACCTCTGAGTATATTCTTTTCTGGTATGATAGCATGAAGTTTATGGTAGTTTTGGCCATAGGTTATCATGTGTTGTTGAATGCCTGTAAAATATATAATTAATGGTGTATGAGATAGTTTAAGTTTAAGGTGGCAAAAATAAGCAAAACTTAGGAGAAATTTTGTGACACAGGTTGAGCTATGTCGTGTTCCAATGAGATTCTTTAAGCCAGGTGAAAAGCTGTGTTATGCGTTCTACAAGTATGGGACGAAAGTGCTAGGTGGGATAGTGCATGCTATGCTGCATGAGTATGTCTAATCCATGATTTTGTCTCTGGAACGAAAGAGTGGACGTGACTGTATGGGCGGCTGTAGGAAGCGTATGATGAACATGCCTGGAATATAAATGAGACAGTTGTCGGCAGGGATGTATACCCCTGTCTGGTACATGAAAGTGAAATGTGATAAGTGGCCAACCAAGTGAGTTCCCCAGAAACATCATGAACTTATGGATGAGTAGTGGCGTTTGTTGCTGAAGTGGTGGAAAAATTTCCAAACCTGGATGCCATGGCCAACAGCCCCAAAGCAATTGTTCCCGGTAGATCGCTGCCAAACCCGTGGTATACGCTGCGTCTGACCATCTGGTTGGAGAAGTGTCAGACAATCCTGGAAGGAACATGCTTTTACCATGCCAAGTGGTTAAGAAATCCCCCCACCATGTGCAGGTCTGCTGTTGCTGAGGTGTCTAGGCACCTCCTCTGATCGTCATGTTGGAAGTGTGGAAAAAAGGGAAAAGTATTCTGGATGTGAAAGCGTGGTCTTGTGGTATGATTGGCATGGCAAAATTAAGGAACCTGGTAGGGATTGTAGTTCCTTGTAGTTGTAAGTACTAAGCAGGAGGTAGTGATTGATTTAGTTGAGAATGTTCCCTATTTGTCTTGTGGTAACTTGCGTGTATGGATGCCGACTCAAGTCATATGCCCAGTAATGTGATGATAGTGTCTGCGCCTTCTGTTTCTTATGGGGTACTGGGACGCCCAAGTGGTCAACCAGACTAAGCTGCCATGAGGCTTCTAGTGAAAAATATGCTTTCTTTGAGCAACAAGAAGTCTTCTAGATAGTGTATGACTGTAATGCCTCTGGATATGTTATCATAACCAGCACAGAGTATCTGCGAATATCGATAGTAGGTTAATCTGTAGCTCGAAAGTTGAGCAGGGAAAGGATTGCCCAATTTATGCCATGTAAGTGCCAGTGTGTAGGGTAGATGGTAGCTGTTTACTGCGTTGATGATATTGGTCTTACTTAACCAAGCTTTAACCCATGCTTGAGTGATAGCTGTAAAGGTAGATCAATGGTGTTGTATAGTAAGAAGGGAGTTGAGACTTGGGGTAGCGGAGGTGTGTGGTGCCAATAAGTCTATGGTTAGTCTTTGTTTAAGGGAAGATTCCTTGTGACAATACCAATGTGTGTGTTTGGTGCCATGCTGTAAATGGTGGAGATTGGAAGACCACTCTGCAAATCTTGGCTATGAGTGTGTTTTCAGCCAATGGTTTTGTTGTGCTGACTGTAAGTGAGGGCATGCTATATTCCTTGAAGGTGTGTTTATGATACCTGTATGGGAGCCCTTTGAAGCTCCAGAGCTTTAGTAAATCTACTACAAGTCTGGAAGGGTGATGAGTCAGTAGTGTTGAAAATGCATTGGTGTGTACAGATGGTGAGTACGTTATTTGTAAGTTGTATTGGGCCACATGGTTTGTCATGTGCCCTGAACCATTTGAACATATATGCAACAGTCTATATGCAATGCAACTACTCATATCAATCGTCTCTGGTAGTTCAGAGGTGCTAGTACCTGGAGCCTGAGAGTGCTCGTCCATTTGTTTGGGACAGAACCCCTTCTGTATGGGTACCTGCACAAATAAACATCTCTACATATTCCAAATACCAACCCATCCAAGAGATGGTCAGTTCCCAGTTTACCTGGAATCCCTGAATCTGACCATCACAGATACATCATCATACATATATATGCCTTGCTTCCCCAATGTGCTGGGATCATACGTGCAGGGTTAACATCTTGTGTGTCATAAGAATTGATTGTACCAGGTAACCGAGTTTCGGTTGGTGCTGGTTGTACAGTAACGTGAGGCCCAGCCTTGTGAGGGCTGTGGTGACCAACTCGAGATTGCCAGTCTGTCATAAAATGTTTTGGCTCATGAGTTTATGAGTGAGGCTAGCATAGCCTGGGTGTCACCTGAGTTGATGTAGCTGGGCCTTCCCCTGCCTCCGTGTTGTCCGTTGATGTATGGAGGAGTTTGAATAACTCTGCTTTCCTTGCTGTAGCAGGGTAGGGGATTTGTCACCTCCTTAGGTCGGTGGTAATGTGTGGGATCGTCCAGGATCTGATTGCTGCAGGACTAGCAACATCTCCT